AGAGTGGCAGAGATCGGGGAGATTTGGAGGGGGGATATGAAGGAGAAAGGCAAGGACCTCCTGGGAGAGCTGACAGCATCATGGCAGAGATTCATTGGTGGGGGGTCAGGAATCTTCCAGGGTGTCTCCAGAGCACCCTTGGGCCCAGAGGGGCACAGAACCTGCAAAGGGCAGTGCCGTGCACATCTGGAGGTCCATAGAGTGGACGGGGGCATGCTCAGAACACCAGAATTCAAGGTCAAGGCTCTGTGGAATTGACCAACCCCAAAGCTCGATCCCAGCTGGTTGCAGAGCTCAGCAGAGCCCAGAGTGGGTGGTTGATTGGGCATAGTGCTGGCACAGTGCAGAAATGCAGATTATCAGAACAGGAGAGACAACCGCCTCTTGTGTGTGTATTTATAAACTTAAAAAAAAAAATCCAAGTCTTTGGGGAAGTGCTATTTAGTAGATGGCACAATGGCGAATTGGCTATTTCAAATGAGATGGGAGAATCCAGTAGCATTTCAAAGGAACAAGACGAAGGAAAACTTGTGTTCATTCAGTATTCGCATCTAAGCAGACATTTAATAGCTGTAATCCAGTCTGATCCTAAAAAACTGCTCTATGGAGAAAGTATCATCGACTCCAGACTGCGTGGTGAGGAAATGAGCATGTGAGAGGCTGAGCCAGTCTCCCTGCTGCCAAGGTCAGAGGGAGGCAGAGACTTGAACCCAGGCTGGCTGGGTCCCCAGCCTGCTCTTTGAACAAAGCTGCTTAGAGGTCTGGCTGCCCAGAGAGGAGACCGTATGCCCAGGGCAGCATCACTGCTCCGGGTGTGGGCTTGGGGATGGAAGAAGGTCGTGTGTGAGGCTGCGGGAGCTCGCACGGGACGGAAGGAGGTCGTGTGTGAGGCTGTGGGAGCTGGCACGGGACTCGGGGCTGCACCAGATGGGGCTGAATGCAATCGAGCCATGTGGACCCTCAAGGAAGGAAGGTACGAACTCCATATAACTTCTCATAAGCGAGATTACTTCCCAGCAACAGCTTACCCAGTAAAACTCAATAAAACAAAATTGAACCCCTAATAAAATATCTAGGAGACAGACTGAACTATAGGAGGCTTGGTTTATGGAACTCCAGCGTCACCGAGAGTCATTACTCTGATGTTTTAAAGTGTAAAGTGCTTTAGGATCTCATGTGAAACCAGAGCTCACATGTGAGCTTATGTACATGTGAACTTAGGTACTGCTTACATAATAACCCTAGCGGGGTTGACACTGAAGGTGTCACCCAGGTGTCCCTTTGGGGTGGGCAGATGCAGAGCTGGTCTTCCCAGCTGCTGGGAAGAGGTCAGCAGGTAGGTCTCAGTGGCTGGCCATCTGCAGGATCCCCTCAGAACAGGACACTGTCCCCCCAAGTCACACACCCTTCCAGGAGCATCAGTCACCCCCTCAAGCATCTCTTTTCAGAGCTGACCACAGGCTCAGCCACGACCTCTGTGGAGACAACCTGACCATGCATTCTCCTCAAACTCCCATGGCTTCCATCCCAAGGGCACCCCCAAGGACAGCCTGAACCCCAGTCTCTGCCTTACTCTGTGACAGTTAGGGGAACCCAACCCATGACGAGTAGGAACCGAGACTCCCAAGTTCTCCCGCTCTAAAGTTGTCATGTGACTCACTGACTTCCCATCGCAAGGATGTTGCTAGAAGTGAAATCCACATTGTCACATGGATGAAAGGACAAGTCACTTCTCAGCAACATGTGCCCACTTTGTATGGAGATGACCCGCAAGTAGATGGAAAATCCAAGTGGGCTTGTCCACCCCACGGCACTCATGGCCCTTCCCAGTGGAGCATACCCGGAATTTTAGAAGCTGTTTTATTTAATCCAGATTATTCCTGCTTCTATTAGGTCACCTGTGTCTGTTTATTGTCTTTGAAAGAACTTTGACAATTACTTGACTAAAATAAAGGAACAAAACCAGGCCTAGTGGGAACTTTGGGGGCTGTTACCCCAGGTGTCAGGCGACAGGTCCTCCCTCCTGGAGTGGGCTGGATGTACCACTATGGTTTGCTCCTGGCTCATCTCCTGGACATCACATCCTCTGGCCATTTGCTTATGAGAAGTCCAGAGAAAGATCTGGAGAAGAGGTTATACCCACACATTTCCATCTCAAATCCTGTCTTTTGCTCCCATTAGCCATGTTTTTAAAAGAAACAGAAAAATGATGGAAGCCGTCACAGAGCATCCTGGGGATTTGGAGAGAATGTTATCTTTGCAGTGACAAGTTCCCCTCCAGGAAGTGTCTTTTCCATGCGGCCAATCTGTCCTGTCTGTGGCGTGGGGCAGAGGAAGATGGACATGGCATCACCTGCTCCTCCCAGCCCCTCTCCTCTGGACTCTGAGTGGTTTTAGTGACCGGCTTGACCAACGGGCTAAGCTGGGCGGGGAGTGACCAGCCTGTCCCCTTCGTCTGGACTCCCTGAACTTTAGCACGGAAGCCAGTGTCCCAGGACACTGCTCTGTCCTCCATACCCAGGGACAGTGAACATCCCAGGGCTCCCGAGACCAGGCCACGAGGTTCCTGGTGATCAGAGGTCTTTGGCAATAAGCTGTGTGGTCACCCCAAGCTGCGGAATTGGCAGAGCTCATGCCCACGAGGTACTTCCACTTCCTAAGCTCTCCTGCGGGGACACAGATCCTGACTGTGACCCGAATGAGATGGGGTATAGCCCCAACACAGTCTCTGCTGTGGGATTTGAAGAAGGGATTCACAGCTGGATCCCTGCTATGGCGTTGCCATTTGAAGAGATTCTACATTGCTGGGAATTGATAAAACAAGGGGGATCGTACACCTCAACAGTTTTACAAGGTGAAGTGAGGTTTTCTTAGAATACTAGTGGTGCTAAGAAGCAGGGTGGGTTTCCATTAGTATCGCCAGTACACAGACTGTCTTTAGAAACCATCTACGAGGTGGTAACAACAAATGAGCTGGTGTCATCTTATCGCTTTTTATAAGCTGAGTCCAACTCTTTGGGACCCCATGGACTGTACCCCCCCCCAGGCTCCTCTGTCTGTGGAATTCTCCAGGCCAGAACACTGGAGTGGGTGGCTGTTCCCTTCTCCAGGGGATCTTCCCAACCCAGGGACTGAACCCAGGTCTCCCCCATGGCAGGTGAATTCCTTATGTTCTGAGCCACCAGGGGACCCCTTTTTATAAGTTAAAAAATAAAAATTGTAGGAACACAATAAAGAACCAGCAACAAAGGAGTTGAGGCGATGAGTTATTCTAAATGGGAGCTCAGTTGAGGGGGTTGATAAGGATGAGCGGTCTGGGCCGCACTGGCGTCGCCGCAGCTGCATCCTGGGGCCCAGACGCGCCTGGCATGTGATCAGGGCTCCACAAATCCTTGCTGAATGTTTGTAATAATTGCTGCTCATTTCTAATAAGCACATTATCGCTACCTGATTAACTCGATTTTCCCAGAAACAAAATACACCCTAACAACTTTGGAATAATCTCCTTAGGAATCCACATTAGGGACCACCTCGTAGCTCAATCTACCCCTAATGAGATCATTTTGTCAACGGAGTATTTGGTTTCCCTGGATCCCATCCAACCTATACTGGCTAATGTGGGATTTCCCTTTTCAACCTGCTGGGCCAGCCTTCCATTATCTCCTGGGCCCCCTCAATGACACTGACCAGGGGGTGAGGCCACAGAGCCCAGGGCAGAGCTCAGGCGAGGGCGCTGGTTCGTGTGCACACCCCACCCTCTGGCAGGCAGTCACCCGCTGGCAGAAACTCTTCCCCAGAGCCAGGAAAGTGTCTTTCCACAAATAGGTGTCCTCTCACCCACAAGTGAGAACAAGAGGCAAACTTGGCATCTCAGTATTGACAAGAAATCCAGTCAAATAAAATCCCTCTTCTTTATCTGTAATGAATTCAGACGAGAAGTACATGGCTGTGCACTATCCCGATGGAAATCTGGGGTGTGGCAACAGTGGGCAGTCACTCGGCTGTCTCTGGGCTGCCCTGAATGGGTCACCATGGGGTCCTGGGGGGAAGGTCCCCCTCGTGGTGATGGAGATCATGAGGGTGTGGGTGTCTGAGGTGGAGACAGCAGGCACACCCCTCCCCTCACACCTCGGTAGGTGGACAAGACGCATGGGCAAGGCTGAGGGCCCATCCAGAGATCACACGCCTGCTGATTTTAAACATCGATTTGGACCAGAGCAGTGAAAGCAGGAAAGTTTGTGACCGAGTGGAAAAGAAATGCACATGTACATGCATACATATCACACACACATCACATACACATGTGCACACATGCACACACAAGAAAACCACACATACCTCTCACACACACACACTCATAGACATAAATACTGCCAGTGTTTTTTTTCCCAACACTTACCCCTGAACAGAGCTCATGGATAATCCCCGGAAACTCAAGCAGCACCACTGTCTCAGCGTGCTCAGCTGCTTCAGGCGTGTCCGACTCTCTGCCACCCTGTGGACTGTAGCCCGCCAGGCGCCTCTGTCCCTGGGATTCTCCAGGCAAGAATACTGGTGTGGGTTGCCATGCCCTCCTGCAGGGATCTCCATCTCCTGCAAGAGCCACTGTATCACTGAGCCACCTGGAAAGCCCCGTTGTCTGAGCATCATTCTCCAAATATTCTTTCTTTGGGCAAATCCCGGAAACAATCAGGTTTAAAATTTCCTTTTGATGTTGTATTCATAAGATACTTTGCTCTCACCACGAAAAGACATACAATCACTGTAGAATGCCTCTCTAAGAGGTGGGCTGAAATTGCCTTTCTGTCGATGCTTTGAACACCAAAAGTCAGACTGTATGTTCTTACGCTGGTGCCCAGGCCCTTCACAACATTCTGAGTCTGCCCAGGACAGCCTGCGGGGCCTCCAGCCCCCAGCTTATGGGGTCAGAAGGAAGGGTTACAGATACGAGGGGACCATCGTCCTGCACTTGGCCTGATGAGGTCTCGGTGCAAACAGACCTCGGGCGGCCGAGGCAGGGACCGCACAGGACGCAGGCTTGACACTCCCCTCCCCACCTCTTGTCTTTCACCAGAAGAGCTCTGAGGGCAGAACCGCCGGCACAGCTCTGGGTCAGGCTGCCCATCCCAGGGTCCGGCGCCATTTCCCAGGACAGAGGCTCCTGCCAGGAGCTTGGAGGAGCCTGGAGCGCGTGGTCCCAGAGGGCCCTGCGCTCCCGATCACTCAGGTGGGTGCAGAAGATGGGCCTGCTGGGCGGGGGGTCACGGGAGCTCAAAGCGCAGACTTCGCGACCCTTGGACGACATGCTGGGCTCCCCGCCGGGAGCTCAGGAGGCCTGTGTTCCTCGCTGGATGTCACCTCCCAGCTCAGGGCAGAAAACGAGCTGTTAGTTTACAGTGTCAACTAAAACATTACCTTATAGAACACAGCAACACCTGCTCATGATGTTGTTGTTGTGTTTGCATCTTGTGATTAAAAAAAAAAAAACAGAAAAAAATATGTATCCAGTGGAATAAAGTCCCAAGAACTTCAGTAAAGACCAGGTGCCAAGTTCTGCTGATCTGTGGCTGAAAGGGACTGGACGAGCTTCTCACAAGTGCCAAGGCTACGTCCCAGCTGGGTCGATGTGGCTGTAAAACTCCAGCAAGGAGCCCTTGGCGTGTTGGGAAGAAGCGTGCAGAAATCCAGATGCTCGCCAAGGCAGCCGCTCCTTCTCAGCGGTGGGAGCGCTCGTCATGCCCAAGGATGCCTCGCACGCCGGGCTGAAGGGCAAGCATGCAGGTTCGTGAGGACGCCCCACTGCCAACAGCCCACCCGGGCCTCTCGAGCCCTGTGCCACGGCCGCCCGGTGAGGCCTCCATCCCCCACCCTGGCCCCCTCCCCGGTCCCTCCCTTTAAGACATTGCACCAGATGCCGTCCTGAGTCATCCACATCCTTGTACACTCCAGACGATGGGTTCACCTGTATGCACTTGCTTTTCTGTGTGTGTGCTGATTGCGGGCTCTCTTGGTGTGAGATACACTGCATTTCTGAGAAAAGACAGCGGGCTTGGCCCGCCTTGAGTCCTGAGGGCATCTTGCCCTCCAGATGGGTGGACAGCCTGGCATGGATGGTCCACTCTGGGGTTTTTCTGCAGACCATTCATCCTGTCTGCCCGACCACCGTGCCCTGCCCTCTCAAAACATAGGCATTCACCCGCATTCTCTCGCAGATAGCTCTCTTTCTCCGGGATCTGTACATATTTATCTTGCACTAAATTCATTCAGTTTCACAAATTAAATCAGTAATTCTGCCGCCATAAACCCTGGGATGTGTTAACATGAATGCATCCATTTCCATTCATCTTTGTTCACAGTCCTTTTCAAGTACTTCAGAGGCAGTGATTGTTCCTCCCCACAGGATTAAATTTAGAAGAAACAGGATTTGTGCTTTTAATGACTTATTGTGAATCTAAGAAGCATCTCGTGGATGATTATCCACCCAGAGAGTCTCGTCCATTCACAAGGTTCTTTAGTGGAAGCCATTGGCAGGCTGCTTACACTTATCAAATATTCTTGTAATAAATACAGATATTCTTGTAATAACATTTTTTAAAAAACGTGTATCAAAGGAAGTAAGGGCCTTGAGAGCTATCACAAAGACCAGGTGCAAAGTGCTGTTGGCTCGTGACCTAAATGGAGCAGATCAACCTCCCATGAGCATCAACTTTAATTCTCGGCTGGACCTGGAGACAAGATGCAAAAGTCCACCAAGGAGCCCTGGGCGTGTCTGGAAGAATTCTTGGCTGCCCAGGCAGGTGTGGGAGGGAGACTCAGTAGTGCTGGGGCCCTGATTCAGGTTCTGACATCTTCACGGTCAACAGAGGCAGCTGGCAGGATTCAAGAGTCGAGAGTTATTGAGCCGGCTCCTGAGGCTGCATTGGCAGGAAACGTGAGGCAGAACCGGGCTGCTCTGGGCCCCTTCTGGGCCAGCCTGCTTTGCCCCGCCCACCAGTGTCCCTACGTCATCTGCAGATGATGAGCAGCTGTCTCAGTGTCTCAAGCCCCGTCGGGGAAACGACGGGAGAAGCGGGCATAGGCAGCGCTGACGTTCTGTGCATGCAGACTCCCTGTGCGGCATCCACCGTGGAGCCCTCGCGTGATGGCGGTGGCCCTCGATTCCAGTGCCACTCGTCTCGACTGCTGAGCCTGCAGCCCCAGGGGCCTGGCACCTCCGAGTCCCGCCCCCCGTGGCCGGGGCGTCCTCAGCCGCCAGGCGGACTTAAAGCGGATGGACAGGCCTGTGTCCCAGACCTCCACGGGGCGCCGCAGGCTCCGCTGAGGCCTGGTTGTCTCTGCCAGCCCGTGCGTCCCCGCAGGACAGAGGGGCTGCGTCAGGGCTAGGTGACGACTGGGTGCCGCTGTCTGGAGACGGGTGCCCGTGGGTGTGACTTGAGCCTGTGTGTCGGGACAGGATGACGTCACTCAGTTGGACGCTCCACATGAGGAGGCATCCGGATACACTGGGACATCGGGCCCCAGAACCACCTTAGGAAACGGGGTCTGGTGGCCAGAGGTGGGGTGGGGGTCTTGGAAAATGTCCTTAGTAAACAGAGGGCAGTGAGGGGGGGATGGGGGCCTGAGCATGTGTGCTTTCAATGATCAGGGCTTTACGAAGGGCTTTGAGGAGGAGGCGACGGCTGTGCTCAGGGCTGTGTGGGAGGTGGTTCCTGGAGACAAGGTCACCGAGGACGGCCCCAGGGTGGCCCGTGGCGGCCCCAGGGGGTCTGTCGCTCAGGGCCTGCCGGCACCAGACAGGTGACTGCTTCACGAGTCTCTTCACTGAGACTTTTCGTCTCCAAAGTCGAGCTCTGAAGACCCCAGGGCGAAATGTACAACATTGAGTGGTGGATGTAATCTACCCCAGGTCCCAAATTAAAGCACGCAACCTTGATGGACTAAAATCTTACTCACAAAATAAGAATAATAAATAAAGCATAAATCATGCTTTCACGTCGATGGACCTGAACGGGCAACTCTTCATAAGAAGTGACTTTCTCATCACATTCTGACCCTGCACAGAGGCGTTGGGACAAAGTGTTCTCTCCAAAACAGGGGCTCAGCGCAGCCTGTTTGCCGGAGGAGGATGCGGAACTGCCTTCCGGGGGGCCTGAGTTCTGGACACAGTGCGATGGGGAGCTCCAGGGCCTGCAGGTGACAGCTGACATTTGTCTCAGGTTCTCAGAGCTGATCTTGTGTCCTTAGCTCACCTGCGCACACACACAGCCACACACGGGCAGTTTCCCCCGGCCAGCCCCCGGGCCAACCCCTGCCCAGAATGTGGGATCAGAACGTAGTATCTGAGAGAAGGATATCTGGGGGCACGGTGCTGAAGCATCTATTGTAAACGTGCTGAAGGGTGAGGCCGCTTTGGAGGCACGATCTGGGGGCACATTCCCTTCCCTCCCGTCTCTAAAGCAACATCTCTATGAAATACACGGGTATAACTCTGGGGTTTGGATTGCACAGCCCATTGAGATCTGTTAGAATTCTCCTCTCCCTCAAATGCACCTGGAAATGATAAAAAAAAAAAACCCATCTGGCTATTTTGAGTAATGCTGGCAAAGTTTTCCAAGACGTGTGCAGTTTGCTCTGGTACAGCTGCGTAGGGGGATATGTTTTCAACACGGAGGGCAAGGAATTAGGCTCCGGATTGCTGCCCCCGGGAGCAGGCACGTTGCTCCTGGATCTCAGATTCCACCCCGAAAAGCCCAGAGTCTGCCAGCCGCTGCTCTCACTGCTGCTTTGAAACTCATCCACCAAACATTCTGGAAACAAAGGGGACTCCCACAGCCGCCCGGAAGCACTTAGAAAATACACACCAAAGAGGACCTGTGAGGGTCGTTCTGCGTCTCAAATTAGCAGGCGTATTTTCACTTAAAAACTTCAGACACTTACACAAGTGTAGAGGCGTGTTTGTCTTACACAATGTGCAACAGCGCTTCTTCGGAGAAACAGATATGTAAGCAGCTATGGGCTAGATGCAGTCTCTAAGGGGGTGGGGGGAGTGCTGTGGAATGAGCGCTGGCGAGAACCTTGGGTTCGCGAGCCTTGAGAGCATGGAGTGAAATGCTTTCAGGAAAGAGTGAGTGTGTGTGTGTGCACGTGCGAGTGTGTGTGTGTGTGTGCACGTGCACGTGCATGCACATGCGTGCTGGCATAGCAGGGCTGGTATGAGGCTGACCCTCAGGGCACCTTCAGGCACCGTGTCACAGGGATCCTCTCCCAGGATGCGAGTCCAGCACAGGTTAGGAAAAGAATATGATGCCTCCACCCCCTTGTCCCACGCTGGATGAATAGTCACTTTCTTCATTTCCACAGCCTGCTTCCTCTGGCCTGAGGGGCAGATGTCCAGGGTCCAGCCCTGACCTGCAGACTCAGGGATCTTTCAGTGCCAGCACGGAGAGTGGGTGACCCTCCAACACAAGGCAAGAGAATTGGCTGATGTGATGGGCCCTAATAATCTATTTTGCCTGTTTTACCCAGAAGCTGGCTTAAAACTCAGGATTCAAAAAGCTAAAATAATGGCATCCAGTCCCATCTTTTCACAGCAAATAGATGGGGAAAAAGTGGAGACAGTGGCAGACTTTACTGTCTTGAGCTTCAAAATCATGGCAGACAGTGACCGCAGCCACAAAATTAAAACAAGCTCTCTCCTGGAAACAGAAGCTGTGACAAACCTAGCTGTTCTTGTTGTTCAGTCGCAAGTCCCAGCGACTCTCCGAGACCCCACGAACTGCAGCACGCCAGGCCGCCCTGGTCCTCCTGCCCAAGTTCATGCCCACTGCATCAGCGAAGCCACCCAACCGTTGCATCCTCTGATGCCCTCTTCTCCTTCTGCCCTCAGTCATTCCCAACATCAGGTTCTTTTCCAATGAGTTGGCTGTTCATATCAGGTGGACAAACCTAGACAGCATATTAAAAAGCAGAGGCATTGCTGTGCCAATGAATGCTTGTATTGTCGAAGCTATGGTTTCTCCAGTATTCATGTATAGATGTGAGAGCTGAACCATAAAGTAGGCTGAGTGCCAAAGAATTGATGCTTTCAAATTGTGGTGTTGGAGAAGACTCTTGAGAGTCCCTTGAACTTCAAGGATATCAGACCAGTCAATCCTAAAGGATATCAACCCTGAATATTCATTGGAAGGACTGATGCTGAAGTTGAAACTGTAATATTTGGCCACCTGATTCATAAAGACAACTCATTGGAAAAGACCCTGATGCTGGGAAAGATTGAGGGCAGGAGGAGAAGGGGGCAACAGAAGATGAGATGTCAACACCAACTCAACGGACATGAGCTTGAGCAAACTGGGAGATAGTAAGGATGGGGAAGCCATTCTTAACTGCAAATGGCAAGTTGCAGTCCATGGGGTCATAAAGAGTTGGAAATGACTCAGCGACTGAACAGCAATCCCAAGTCAAGACCCAACTGCATAATCTAATCAACCCTCAGCCACTCTCAAGGAGCAGACTGAAATCACAGTCTTTATGCTAAGGTCAGAGCTGAGCTCGGAGGGCAGACACCTAGCCAAGCATCTCTTAGAGACTTTGGAATGACACCCAACTAAGTCTTCCTAGTGATGGCCGAGTTTAAGTTTGCCGTGTCCCTGTTGCATTTGGCATCCTCGGTGCCAGGCAACTCAATCAATTAACATTGTTTAAACACACTATTAAAGCAGATGGAAGAGATCTTGGGAAGCCCAGGACACTCCACTTCTTTCCAGAAGCCCCCTCTGAACTTGCCCATCTGCTTCAGTTCCTGAGGATCACAGAGCACAGGCAAGGTCCAAGAGGAACTCTCCGCAGCTCTTCTCCAGCCTGCCTGAGGCCCTAACTCTGCGCAGTGGACTCACAGAGCTGAGTGCAGTTCTAGCCCACGGGCTGCAGCTACTTAGGGAAGATGATCTGCTGAGATGCCCAGCACAGGCCTTGGGCACGTAGTGACTGGTCTCTGAGTGAGTTTGATGGGAGGACAGCACGTCAGTGACACAGGATGAGGCCGGCTCAGGCTTGGGCTGTGAACACAAGGCTTTTCTCCCCACCTGTCTCGGTCGATGACTTACACAGCTATCCTTGGAGGGAAGACGCCATGGACGGTTGACCTGTACAGGACACCATAATTAAACCTTGTGCCCTGGGAGCATCTCCCAGCCCTGGCGCTCAACTTCGTCTCGTGGCTAAAGGAGCCAGAGCTGAGGAGTGTTAGGAGAAGTTAAACACTTGTCAGCAGGAAGCAGATGAGGCTTTACAGCAAACCCGCATCACTAATGCATGAGGAGGGCCTGGCTGGAGATGCGATTGTTCTCCTCATCATCGTCCAAGTTGTATTACCCATTACACAAAGGGGCGGGTAGACTTTCTCCCAGCCCAGAGCTCAGCGTGGTTCTGGGGAGACGGGTGACCCAGGGTCACGGATGCAGCAATACGGGCTGGAGGGTCATCTCAGTGCAGCAAGGAGTCTATGATTACTCCTCAGAGGCTGGGGAGGAGGCTGGGGTTCAGGCTGAGCGGGGCTGGGGTCAGGGGCAGGCCATCCTCATGCCGGGCAGCACCTCCTCCTTCACAGCAACAGTTCCCCGTCCCCCATTCACCTGGGGACCCTGGGGTCCTGGCTGTGGGTGCGGTGGGGGAGGCGCTTGGAGGAGAAGATGCTGATTGGCCAGGGTTGCTGGGATCAGCCTGGTGTGCTGAGAAGGCTACAGGTACGCCTCGTGCTCCCCGCCCAGGCAGAAAGAAGAAGACCCCCTCAAGGAGACTTGAGGAGGGGGCTCTTGCCTCCCTATGAAGCCTGGGGCCACCTACTCCACAGGTGCAGCCTCCCTGATCTCTCCGCAGGAAGGACGGTCTGGGGCAGGTGGAGTCAGCGGATGAGGAAAATGCAGCATCTTCCCTCCCTGGCCTTGATCTACTGGGGTCTCAGAGGGGCAGCCCTGACCCTAATGTAAGGCACACACATCTGGGGGCACCCTGGAAGGACCCTCATCCACAGGCAGGCCCCCACATCCCGGGGCTGTGGCTTCCTACCTGGCAGGGCCCCCAAGACGGAGCCTGGGGAGGGGACACGCGGCCCTTGCCCACGACGTGGGAGGGGCACCGACAACCTCACTCAGCGGACAGGTGATCCGTAACCAGCAATTACAGAAAGTGCAGATGGACGCTAACAGAAGCGCATGCTAAGGGCTGGGTCCTAGAGGCTGAGCTGAGCTGAGCCACCCCTGAGCTTGGGGAAAGGGAGCACTCACAGCACTGATCCTGCGTGAGCTCCCTGAGCTGCGTCTACCGTGCGGTGCTCGCAGGGACCATGACGTTTCCAACTGCGATCTTATTCATCCTGATGACTGCGGCACCCCTAAATGTTGTGCCCAAGACGCTAGGGGACAAATTGTGTCCCCACCTCCAGTTCATACAATGGAGACTTAACCCCCAGGATCTCAGAACCTTGTCTGGAATAAGGTCAGTGCTGATGAAAATAGCTACAATTACGTCACACTGGAGTTTCACTGTTCAGTTGCTAAGCCGTGTCTGACTCTTTGCGACCCCATGGACTGCAGCACGCCAGCCTTCCCTGTCCATCACCAACTCCCGGAGCTTGCTCAAACTCATGTCCATTGAGTTAGTGATGCCATCCAACCATCTCATCCTCTGTCATCCCCTTCTTCTCCTGTCTTCAATCTTTCCCAACATCAGGGTCTTTTTCAGTGAGTCAGTTCGTCACATCAGGTGGCCAAAGTATTGGAGCTTCGAAGCTTCAGTCACAGCTTTCCAATGAATATTCAGGGTTAATTTCCTTTAGGATTGACTGGTTTGACTTCCTTGGTGTCCAAGGGACTCTCAAGAGTCTTCTCCAGCACCATAGCACGAAAGCATCAATTCTTCAGTGCTCAGCCTTCTTTATAGCCCAACTCTCACATCCGTACATGACTACTGGAAAAACCATAGGTTTGACTCTACAGAACTTTGTTGGCAGAGTGATGTCTCTGCTTTTTAATATGCTGTCTAGGCTGGTCATAGCTTTTCTTCCAAGGGGAACCATCTTTGAGTTAACAGTGGGGTTAGTGGACCCCTAATCCAACAGGACAGGTGTAAGGAAAGAAGCAGAAGCATGGATACAGACACACAGCAAGACACCTGTGACCATGATGGCCGAGATGTGGGGATGTTTCCAGAAGCCAGGGACAGGGCTGACGGCCAGCCCTCCGGGAGGTGGGGGAGTCACCTGGGACAGATTCGGGACTGCCAGACGCCTCGATCAGGGGTTTCTAACCCGAAGGACCTGAGAAAACCCTTCCTGTTGTTTCAAGCTGCCTGCTCTGGGCGACTTTGTCAGGGCAAACAAGTGCCTGCCTCTCCTGTCCGCATCCTGCCCAAGTGTCGCCTGCCCCTCACTGTCCTGGCTCCAGGGGAAAGCCGAGGGCCCTGAGGGTGACCGTCGGGTGACACTGGTGGAAGCTGGGGCGAGGCCCGGCGGGCACCGCAGGCCTCCTGCTGCTCTGCCAGAGACCCTGGCACTTCCTCAGACCCCGTGGCCCCTGCCCGTTCCCGCACACGGTGACGAGGATACGACCCAGCCCAGCCTCAGCAGGGCTGTTGCTGCCGTCGGTCGGGAGCGCCGGGTGTCAGAGAAGCCCGCCGCCCTGCGTCAGCATAAGCACCCTTCTTGCTGGAGTGGCTGGGGCAGGCAACATCTGTGTCCCCAGGTGAATGGGGGCGGGGGGACACAGCAGGCCGGGCCCAGCGGGGCCAGGTGGGCGGGCTCCTCCTCCCCGAGCGCGGGTGCAGGTGCCCGTAGCTACACAAGAGGGGAGGCTCGGCCCATGGAAAGTGGAGCCCTCAGATGTGAGGACCAGGGGGCGGCGTGGTCAGCAGGGCCCCTAACTGCAGAGCTGCAGAGGAAGCGGCTCTGGGCCACGTGAGCTTCGAGGCCGGGGCAGGACCCCACCTCCATCACCACGCCTGCGATGCTCCAGCGCCGCTGCCGTTCAGTCTGGGGGGCTGGTGAGTCGGGGGGCATTGTTGTGTCCTCAGGGGACTGGGACTGCAGAGAAGGCTTTGTGGAGGGAGGGGGCTGGGGAGCAGCCCCGGCTGGTCCGGGTCTGGGAGAGTCCCTCCTTCTCCACAGGGACACCCTTCTCACCAGACTCCCTGGGCCAGCCTCTCCTGGCTCACAAAGCAGAAACGTGAAGAAACAGCTCGGGTTCAGCCCCGGCTCCTGACCCATTAGTGTGCTGCCTGGTGGGAGCTGAGGCCCAGAGGTGGCAGAACCTTGTCTCGGCACAGAAGGTCGGGCCGGGTGACCTTTTCCGGAGGAGGCTCTGGGGTGTGAGCCTCACCCAGGCTAGCCGGAGCCCAGCCGTCGGGGGCCCTGGGGCCACCCCTCGGCCAGACTGCTGTCCCCCCGCCCCCTTTCTCCACTGCTCAAGCGCAGACCTGCCAGTCTGTTTGCACTCTGGGGTCAAGACCCCTGACATGACCTTGGACTATGGAGGAGAGTATAAGTGAAAGTGATGCCGGGTCCGACTCTCTGCGACCCCGTGGACTGCAGCCCGCCAGGCCCCTCTGTCTGTGGGATTCTCCAGACTAGAATGCTGGAGTGGGTTGCCATGCCCTTCTCCAGGGGATCTTTCCACCCCAGGAATCAAACCCTGGTCTCCTGCATTGCAGGCAGATTCTTTACTGTCTGTGCCACCAGGGGAGCCCAAGTGGAGAGTATAAGCCCAGGATCACTGGGCTCCCCCCGACTCGTCGCCCCACCAAACCTGGCCCGGACAGCCTCCACGGGCTCAGTTGCTCAACTGTGTCCGACTCTTTGCAACTCAAGAAACCTGCCAGGCTCCTCTGTCCATGGGATTTCCCAGGCAAGAATACTGGAGTGGGTTGCCATTTCCTCCTCCATGGGACGGCCTCCAAACTATACATAAAATCTGAAAGTGCCATCATCACCAGATTTCGACAGCTTGGCTGCTGGTTCAGGACATCCGCTGTCAGAAGATGCTCAGGGTCCTTCCTCATCTCTCCTTGATGCACTTTCCTGCCTGGTGATCAGAGTCGGGGGGGGGGGGGAGCAGTGCACAGCTTAGTTCAGGGCCACAACTGTGGGAGGATCCAGACTCGCTGCCCCTGTAAGGGGTGAGAGAGAGACTGCAGCCTGCCCACCGAGGCTTCGTCGCCATCCGGCCTGAGGGCATCACACAGGCTCAAGCTCTCAGCTCGTGTTTGTTGGCCACAGCCACGTCGGCCCGTGGGTTAATCATTCAGTTGTGTCCCACTCTTTGTGACCCCACCGACTGTAGCCCGCCAGGCTCCTCTGTCCACGGAATTCTCCAGGCGGGAACACTGGAGTGGGTTGCCATCGTCTTCTCCAGGGGATCTTCCCGACCCAGGAATCGAACCCGGCTCTCCTGCTTTGCAGGCACTGTCATTGCTGTCTTTACCAGAGAAGCCAAACTGGCCCTTGGAAATGTTTAAATCTAATTTTGTTTCACCAACTGGATTATGTTGTTATTCTTTCCACTTAGGAATCAAACTGAATTTTGTACATTTTATGGCAGCCTATTAATTTGGTCGTTTTCACCTGTCCCCACCGCCTCTTGTCTTGAGCTCTAAGCTCTGAAAAGGGCTTTTTTGACCTTGACATTCAGCTGCCAACACATTAATTTCAGACTTAGACCTGGGAGCTTTGCTCATTAACCTGATCCGTGTCACAGGAGCTGGATAAGGCTAGGTGGGGGGGAGGGGACACAGAGGGCTGTGGAAATGACCCCCGAGTTGCTCTTCTGGAGGAAGGCCTCATCGCCGAGATGCAATTCCATTCCTCTCTCATCCTTTGGGTTGTTTTTTTTTTAAGGAACAAGATCAAATGTTTTATACCAGTATCGAATTTCCATAACCATATAGGATGAATATTTTAAAGCCTGTAACACAAACAGGCAACAGGGAGGTGAGTTGGCGCAATTGCGTCTGGGGTGGGTGTGAGTAAGGGGCGGATGGGCCAGCGGGCCTGACGTGCTGTCCCTGAAGGCCGGGCCTTTGTGTAGATATGGGACGACCTTGCATACCAGAAGAGCAGCATGTCTTTCTCAGTCACTCAAGTCTTTGGTATTTGCAGGTAAATGGTTTTTTGTTTTTTTTTTCAGTCACTAAGTTGTGTCTGACCCTTTGTGATCCCATAGACTGCAGCAAGCCAGGCTGCGCTGTCCATAACTACCTCCCAGAGTCTGCTCAAGCTCATGTCTATTGAATCAGGGATGTTATCTACCCATCTCATCCTCTGTTGCCCCTTCTCCTCCTGCCCTCAATCTTTCCCAGCATCAGGGTCTTTTCCAATGACTCAGCTCTTCCTATCAGGTAGCCAAAGTACTGGAGCTTCAGCTGCAGCATCAGTCCTTTCAGTGAATGCTCAGAACCGATTTCCTTTAGGATCGATGGGCTTGAACTGGTGAAGTGTCTTGAACCTTCTCATCAGCATCCGAGTCCACACCAGCCCCCCGGAGCTGCATGCTTGCTGTACATTAGTCTTTGTTCTATTTCCCAGCACTGCCTATGACAGTGACCCATGATTGATGTCCAATAAATACATGCCTGGTGAAATCCATGCTTATGTTACCAGGAAGTAAGGAACTTGGAGGCAGGCAGAGGTACCGAGGTCATTCATGTGCCCTGACACAGACTCACAACAGACACACAGATGATTCTAGAACTCCAGTGAGGCAGCTGGACCTTTTAAGTTTCCCTGAAACCTACCTTGAAAATGCAGTCCTTGGCTGTCAGTCCTTCTTGGTCTTTTCTGGAAGAGAGGACAGGAGATGACTCTCTCCTCTCCAGTCTAATAATGCAGGTTTTTAAAGCTTTCCTCAACATTCTTATTCTGTGAGAATAAGATCCTCAGTCCTTTAGCCACCCAGCGTCACTTGGGAGAATTTACGCAGTATTTTCCTTTTCCTAGACAGCACGTCCTTCACGCGAGTCGGGCTTTGTGTGAGCTTCCTCAGCCTCTGCCTTGCCTCCCGCCTCCCGGCGTTCCCTCTGGGGAATGCTCCTTTGGGGCAGCTCCCCTTCCCCAAGGGGGCTCTGTTGCCAGGAGGACCACGCCTTCCGCGGCTGTGCCAGGTGTGGGTCTGCTGGGAGTCAGAAAGTGAGCTGCCCTGCAGCGGCTGCCGGCCACGCGGGCCTGGACGGGACCGTGCCGGCAGCTGAGGGGCGACTCTGGCCCGTTCCTGCTTTCTTGCTGCCTCCCGCGCCCCCACAGCAGGGTCACGGGGCCGGGCCACCTCTTCTGTTGCAGCGTTCCTAAAAGTACGGGCGATTTAGCCAGATCCACTTACAATAACAGTCTGTCAAGAGGTGCACTTTAAGTGCCTTCAAAGTTATCTGTGGTGAGATGTACTCTTTAAATACTGTAATTCCCATAATACCCTAACAAAAGCTCCATTCATAGTCCTAACAGTATCGTAATGTTTGTGTTCACCCCAAAAGTAAACATCACTGCCAAAGCCTGTCTAAGAGCCTTAAGCATATCCGTCAACCAGTCGGAACCGGTGACAATCGTGGCTTCTTTTCAAAAGCAGAGTGGCGTGCAAGTCACACCACTCCAAGGGCTCTGAAATGCATGAGCTCCAAGCAAAATATCCCCCAGGACGCTGACAGAACCCTGCTGACTTGGCCCGAATGCATGTTGTGAGTGCTTTCCTAACAGAATGGGTACTCACAGAGAACAGGTCAGCAGCACTCTGAACCGTATCGCTGTATGATCGCATTGTATCAAGTTGATTGCATAGAATTAAGCATCATATGTTTTTAAGACCCAAGGAAAACTGAGGCTCTTGTGCTAATGTGTGTGTGTGTGTGTGTGTGTGTGTGTGTTAGCCACTCAGTCGTGTACAGCCCTTTGCCACTCCATGAAGTGTAGCCTGCTGGCTTCCTCTGTCCATGTGGTTCTCCAGGCAAAAACAGTGCAATGGGTAGCCATTTGCTGCTTCAGGGGACCTCCGCAACCCGGGATGGAACCCTGGTCTCCTGCATTGCAGGCAGATTCCCCAACATCTGAGCCGCCATTCGTTTTTTTTTTTTTTAACTCTTTGTTTCATATTGGAGAATGTTTGATTAACCATGTTGTTTAAGTTTCAGGCATACAGCAGAGTGAGTCCATCAAACATAGACACGTATCTACTCTTTTTCTTTTTTTTTCATTTGTAGCTAGTCTTTTTAAGTTCCTTTCCCGTCTAAGTGGTTCCATCACTCTGCATTGGGTCCCTGTGCAGTACAGTACATCATTGTTCCTGTCTATTTTAAATACAGCAGTGCGCATCTTTAGATAATAACGCCACTCCTAGGGTGGCTCAGAGGTAAAGAATTCACCTGCCAGTGCAGGAGACTCAGGAAATGTGAGTTCGATCCCTGGCTCAGGAGGATCCCCTGGAGGAGGAAATGGCAACGCACTCCAGGATTCTCGCCTGGAGACCTCACGGACAGAGGACCCTGGTGGGCTGCAATCCATAGGGTCACACAGTCAGACAATACTTCAGTTCACTTCAGTTCAGTCGCTCAGTCGTATCCGACTCTTTGCAACCCCATGGACTGCAGTGCGCCAGGCCTCCCTGTCCATCACTTAGGGAGTGACTCAACAACAGTAAGTATCAGGCATAAGTCTGTCTGTCAGGTCCTACAGGGCCCAGGCCTTCCAGTTTGGACACACATACGGCCCTGGGGCTGGGCAGTGTTCCAGGTGATTCTCAGCCCCTTCAGCTGCAGGCCCTCCCTCGTCATGGAAAATGCAGCAGACACTTTCTGACACTGCTCCCTGGGGGACTTGGGTGTTGCTGGATTCACATCTGTATTCCGCCCCCCCCCCGCCCCCACCGGCCAGTTCATTTGGAATTCCGAGAGCAGAGAGAGGAATGAACCAGCGGCATCTCCCCTGCGCACCCCTTCTCAGACTCAGCGGGTTAGGAAAGCTGTTTCCACGGCAGATATGAGGGGCTGAGCAGCGCGGGTCCCAGGTGGGCCCCCCAGGGCCCAGGCAGGGCAGCCCTGGGTCCCAGTGGGAGGGCGGCCTCTCGTTTGCATACCCTTGATCTCTCTGTCCCTTTCAAGCCCATTACGTGTTTTTGAGACGCGAGCAGGTGCTCCCGTTCTGTAAAGGCAGCAGTTTTCAAGGGGAGTGAAACTTCTCAAGAGGAAGCCTGTGTCCTGCAGGCCCACACTCCACTCCAGCCCTTCTGTTAGCACTTGAATAAAGCCTATGCCGGGGGACTAGATTCCAGGCCGGGTTTGAACTTGATGCTTCTTCTCTTTCTTTTTTCTTTCTTTGAGAAGAAACTTGAAAGATGTGAAATACCTGTCAACATGTCAGTTCTTACCAACAAGGCCATCAGTCGGAATATCAGGGCGGCCCCCCCCCAGATTCCCCCGTGCGGGGGGGGTCCCCTGGCTCCTGGAGCATCGGGTCAGGATGGCCGGGTGGGCATCCACTCAGGCTGAGTGGATGAGGCTCAGCCTTCCCCGGCCTGAGTGGCCTGTAGACTCATGCTGTGCCCAGCGCTGGGCCCACTGTCCACTGGGGCAAAAAAGCCATCCAGACCCTCACTGCTCTTGTTAAGGTCTGAACGCGGACAGTAACCCTCACGAGGGAACTAGAAGCAAATCCCTCTGGTGGGATCGTGTGAGTCTGCCCTCCCCCGCAGTGCCTCTGAGGGACCCTCGGGCGGAGCGCTCGGGGTGCTGGGACCAACGGCCTCACCTCCTCTGGGTTCCTGCTCCCAGGGGCTCTCCTGGACGTCGGTCGGGGCAGGTGTGCAGGGCAGGTCTCCAAGGGCTGGAGAAACAGAGCTCCTCACATGCTCATTTGGCCCCATAGACCCAGAACTCTCTAGAAATGGCTTAGGATAAACATTTCCATTCAATGTCAAAAGTTTGGAAATGGAGGCCGTGCAAACAACCCAGCCTCAGGAGAGTTGGGTGCTGTTCATGTCGGTGACTAACTCAGGAGGAAAATGGGACAAAATTCACACGACGTCTGGGCTGTTGTTGTTGAGTTGCTCAGTCGTGTTGGACTCTTTGCAAGCATGCCGGGCTTCCCTGTCCTTCACCATCTGCTGGAGCTCACTCAAACGTATGTCCATCGAGGTGGTGACGCCATCCAACCCTCTCATCCTCTGTCATGCCCTTCTCCTCCCACCTTCAATCTTTCCCAGCATCAGGGTCTTTTCCAATGAGTCAGTTTTCGCATCAGATGGGCAAAGTACTGGAGTTTCAGCTCCAGCATCAGTCCTTCCAATGAACATTCAGGGTCGATTTCCTTTAAGCTTGACTGACCGTGCCTCCTCTGTAAAAATTACTGTTTTTACTGTGACCCACCTGACGTGCCCTGGCCGATCCTGATGTCAGGGACTGCTCCTTCTCCCAATCCCAGTAACTAACAAGGAGTGACGTTACTCTTGCACTGGAGTCCCCACTGGACCAGGAGCCCCTTGAAACCGTGGAGGGGTCGGGATTAGGAGCAGGGCAGGTGTGACCAGCCGGGCCTGAGCCTTCCCTACTCTGCCCCTGTGAGCATGTGACGCCCACTGGGGGACGGAAGACAGAAGAAAGGGGCCCAGTTGCCCCCCATGGGGAGTAGTCCCCCGGGAAGTTCTGAGTCGGCCTTTGGAAGGGCAGGAAGGCGTCCCAGGGGCTCTGAGTGATGTGGACGCTTGGGCCGCCATCACCCTTGGCTCCCTTGTCCTTCCCCCTCCTCTGCCAGCCTCAAAGCCCTGCACCTGCCCCCGCCGAGCAGGCAACGGCCGGGCCCATTGCTGAATCTCCATCACCTGTCCGGGAGCCGAGAGTCCAGATGGGACCAGCGTCGCCATGGGGACAAGTGAGGCCTCCGTCAGAGCCAAGAAGAGGGACCTGTGGGTGGCGGGGGAGGGTTCTGGCCCTGCAGGTCCACCCTGGGCAGGGAGCCCCTGTCATCTCAGCCCTGGCCAGGCCCGTCCTGCACCGGGTCCCGTGAGAAGACTCCAGGAACGTGACCCTTGAGATAAAGAGCCGCTCCTCCCTCCCTCCCAAACCTCAGTCTCCCAGTTGAAATGGGATGATGTTTCCATGAAAGAGCTGATTGCCAGGACATGGCCTCATGACTTCCAAGGGTTTGCACTTGGAGTCTAGATGATTCAGAAGGTTAGGTGAGCCTTTCTGTGTCCTTCTGAGACACCAAGAATGAACCCTTTTCTTCCCCAGAAGGGCATGCTGGTGAGGGTCACTGACGTTTCCACATCTGTATCGGCCCCGAAGTTAAAACCACATCGCCATGTCCAGGATGAAAGGAGTCCGTGGAAAAGAAGCAGATTTCCCCCTGGTGGCTGAGGTCGTGACACGGGCAGAAGTTAATCCCTCATTTCTGCCAAAAGTGCCTTCCGATCCCTGCGTTTAAGGCGAGACTTTGCTGCTGCCTTTCAGCCAAGTCTCGAGTCCCACCTGAAGCGAAAGGCAGGGCCTGCCCGCCTTCACTGTCGGCCAGTCTCTGGATTAGGGCTCAGCTGCGCTTCTCTGCCGTCATTAACTTCCCCCTGGAACGAGCCTTCTCTCGCAGACAAAATAATGATTTTATTTGAGCCGCCGATGATTATCTGGCTGTATCAGACTTGAAAACTGTAATTTGAAAGAGACGAGTCCTCTCCTTGAGCGAAGGCCCAGCCGCCTTTTCCCTTTTTTTTCAAAGACAGATATGCGAGGGCTTCCTTTAAATTTAAGCTGACACTCTTTGTCCAGGGATTTGAGATCCTGTAGAATATTAAAGGCCCATTTTTATCTTTAAAATATACTTTTACAATCTGTTCTCTGTGGGCCTGTTTTAGTCCCTGGATGATTCTAAGTGACATTAAACGGTGAGTGAATTAGACCCAGCATGAATCACTAAATGGAAATGTATGTTTTAAAAATCATTGATTCAGGAGCTGTCGTGAGCTGAGCTGTGGCGGGAGGAGCTGCCGGGGGCCCAGGCTCAGGGCCGCCCTGTGTGATCGCCCGGCTGCCGTGCAGACCCCGGTCCTGTCCGGGGTGGGGAGGGCCCTGCAGGGAAGGCCTGGGGTCCCGATCGCCCTGTAATTGGTCAAGGAAGAGGAGGGAGCGGGAACCAGCAAGTGAAACAGTAAGACAAAGGTCGCTGGGCCTCTCAGCATGGTGTGCGGGGGCAAAATAGGGAAAGTAAGTCTTCAAAGTAAAATGTGAATCAGCTCACTCAGCTGTATCACATGTTTCCTTTATTAATATCACGGAGATAAAAAATAAATAAATAAATAAAAAAAATAAAATAAAATTATCTGAAAAAAAAAAAAAAAAAAAAATTAATATCACGGAGAGTGTTGACAGTGGTCCCCACCTCAGAGGGAGAGGGGCTCCCGCCCCCCACCTGGTAACTACAGTCAGCCCTGCCCCCTCCTTCCTACCACCCTAGGTCCTGGTCCTCTAATGCTCCCGCCCCCCACCTGGTCCCCCAGCCGGCCCTGCCCCTCCTTCCTGCCCCCCCGCCCCCTGCCCTGCTCTGGGTCCTGGTCCTCAGCTGCTCCTCCCGATCCACCACTGCAGGTGGTGGGTGTGGCTCACGTCCGTGGCCCACGCACGGATGCCCGTCTCCTGCCGGGCTGCCGTCTCCCACCCCAGACGACCATGGCAGCCGTAGCACACGAACCCTTCCCCCGGGATGCGGATGCTGCGGGAGGCCCCAGGCTCTGCGCACCCACCCGGAAGACTGGGGCTCCTGGGCTTTCTCGCGGCATCTTCAGGAAGATTCCGAGGCCAGGCTCCCATGGCTGGAGACGTGGACACACCAGGGCTGTCTTCCAGGCCGAGGGCAGGGCTGTCCGGGGGAGGCTGGCTCTGCCCATCTCCCTGCCTCCCGCATGGGGCCCCTGCATCCGCCTTCTTGGAGTCTGCGGCTCGGTCCCTGTCCCATGGAGTCACTAGGCATCCTGCATTGCCTCTACTTCTGTGGGGGTCCGGGGCCCACATTCTCCTGGCTGCACTTGCCCATGGAGCAGAGTGGCCGGGGACTCACCTGGCGGTCTGAGCTGCCCTGGGTGGGTGGGTGCTACTGTGGGCAGTGCCCCTGGACAGTCATGGGCTGCAGGACATCACAGCACTGAAGGACAGGTGCCATCTGGTCCGGGGCCGGGAGCCCAGGGCAGGGAGGGGGACAGAAGGGGCTGCCTCAGGGGAGGGCGGGGGCACTGTTCTCAGTCAGGGGCCTTTGATGCCGCAGACACGTCTGGGGTCAGGACCAGGAACAGAGACCAGCACTCAGTCCTATCTGACTCTTGCAACCCCATGGACTATAGCCTTCCAGGCTCTTCCATCAGTGGGATTCTCCAGGCAAGAATGCTGGAGTGGGTTGCCATTTCCTTCTCCAGGGGATCTTTCCCACCCAGGAATTGAACCTGGCGTCTCCTGCATTGCAGGCAGGTTATGATTGAGCTACAAGGGCCAGAGACGGCCACTGAACGTCCTGACGGGGCCAAGGGCCAGCCCTCAGGACAGGCTGGCTTGGGTGTCAGTGGGGCTCAGTGGAGCATGTCTGGGTGGGCAGCTAGGACCACGGTTCCGGGCCACACTGGGATCTGGGATCCTGGTTCCTGGGGCCCTGGGAGACTCACCCAGCCTCTAGAGGACTTCGTTTCTTCCCCCATAAACAGAGCCGAGATCAGAGCGCCCACCCCGGAGACGGCGGGAGGAGCGCGCTCAATGCTGGGGGCAGAGGCACAGCCCATGCCAGGGCAGCGGTGAGTATGCGGTGCCCATCACCACCCCCAAACACCGTTTCTACAAACACACACAGGGAACGCTCCAAGCCTGCCCATCCCCTGGTTTAGCAACTATAAACTGATACTTTCCAAAGATCTTCCAGTGGCATCTGGAATGTGGTGTAAAACTCATCGAATAGGCAAACAAATACACGAAATAAAAAACAAACATTCCCCAAGGGCCTTCTCTTGCCAACAACAGGTTCATGTTAACAAAAGCAAGCACAGAAAACCGTCCTCACGTGGGAGGTTAGTGTGTTTGCACAGGACCTTTTCTATGAATGATGTGGCTGTGAGATAAAACATGGTAGGTGTGAGCTTGACCTTTGGGGGAGGAAGAGCGGGGTGCTTCGCCAGGTAGATTCGAGGAGCTGTGGGCTGGCTGGGACTCAGAGGTCAAAGGCGAGGAGATCCGGGAACAAGCCCTCAGTCAGACAGAACTCACATTTGAAATGATGACTCCAAGCGAAGTCACACCAGTGAACATGAACACGCCCACAGAGAACGTCAGTCCTCTATGACCATCATTTCCTTCCAGAAACAACCCAGTATTTTGTCTTAGTGTTCAGTTAACTGCTTTTTTCTTTCTTTCTTAGCTTTGGTTTCATACTGCGCTCTTGTTACTTTGCCAAAGGGAACACCACCCACACAACATATTTTTGCAACATTTCTTTTACTCTGGTGGTAACCCAGCTAATGAGAAAGATTGGAATCGGGTGGAATTACATACTCGGCCAGCACAGACTTGTCCCCGTTGCTGCAAGTGAAATAATATCCACAGATTCTTTCAATAAAATCACAAGTCAGAATAAGCCCTGGCCACACTTAGAGGCGGAAACAATTCTGGTACAGTCAAGAACCCTTAACACAGATGGTGCTAAAAATTACAAACTCCCTTAACATTTCTGCTCCTAAGCCCCTAGGCCATGCTACCCCATGAACCTCAGACTCTCATGCCAATGTAGGACCCTTTAGAGGTCAATGTCCTGTAATACCTAACACACTCTCAGACCATCTGTCTTTTAACATTTCTCATACATTTTTGAAATCTTTAACACAAGGCCACCGGTAGCATGCCGCTCCCATGAGAACATGTTAATAGAGATCTTTTCACAAACAGCTTCAGAAAATGGGAGGAATCTCTTTGAACATCTTCAAAGAGATGCTCTATTTTCATGTAGACTTGACTTCGAAGTTGCACAATGAAGAGGAACAGATATTCATCAAACCTTTCAAGGCGCAGATGTTATCAGGGGATCATAGCTCCGTGTGGCCCCAGCACCTACCCTGCAAGCAGCTTCTGGGAGAAACTAGTAACACCCCCAGGACTTTTCCCAGGAGTGAAAGCACGCCTTTCCCACGTACCTGCGTCACCCAAGCCCTCTCCTTGTCCAAACCCAGCAGCCAACAGCTGGCTCCGGTTCTGTCTGCTATACAGAAAAGAATCTTTAAAATTCTTTACGAAATTGAACAAATGACCACCCAAGTTGGCTTCTGATCCTTGACTTCCCCTCTCCAACAACAGGTGAAAATGGCCGTGGAGTTGTATTTACAACAGTTATCGTCATAACTGACCCAAAGGACACAGCCTTGAACATACATACCCAGGAGGGCTAAGTGGAAACACGTAACTCACAGCAAAAACTCCCCCCAAAGCATGCCCTGAGATAGCCACTTTCTTATAAAGACCCACACAGAGCACTGCTCGTACCTCACCTGGGTTTGCTTCCGAGTCTCTTTCCTCTTGGTGTTCACCCAGTCACCACTCCTTACTTACCAAGTTCACAGCGTCCCAAAGTGAAGGCGGTGCAGCGACATTTTCATTTTTGTTGGTTGGTTTGATTTGGCTCGATACTCGGCCCCCCTGAGAAGGACGAAATGTTTACCTGAATCAGGTTATTTTACTGAATAATCAGGTTCCAGCTATTTTGCTTTGGTTGTAAAGCACTCTTGATGGCGCAGATGGTTAAGAATCTGCCTGCAATGCAGGAGACCCGGGTTCAATCCTGGGGTGGGAAGATAGCCCTGGAGAACGGAATGGCAACCCACTCCAGTATTCTTGCCTGAAAAGTTCCATGGACAGAGGAGCCTGGGGGGCTACAGGCCAAGAGGTGACAAAGCGTCGGACACGACTGTGCAACTAACACTCACTCAGGTGACTGGAGAGTCAGAAGACAAGATGCATTGACCCTTCAGCTGCCAGAGGTCTTCCCGAGGCCGCATTCAGTACTGTCAACTCCTCTGAACCCCATTCTCCTTGGAGGATGAAACCCAACCCCCACGTCCAGATGTCTTTATACCACGTGGTTAGGTTGAACTTAGTGATCACCTCCTGTGACTTACAGCCTATGAAAACAATTAGAAATGCCAAGTGTGTTGATGCGCATACGTGTATATTGCTGTGCAATTTGTAACAGAACATGAGGTAACTTGGAAGGCCACCTGTGGGGTGAGGATTGATGTGTACAGTGTATCCATGTACTAAGACCCCATGTGATGGTGTGCAATACATCTTAGGTTATCAACGTTCAAACATGCTTTCATTTTAAAGTCAACCACATAACAGGTCCAAACCTAAAAGAGGAAAAAATATATATCTATAGTTGATAGCATCACTGACTCAATGGACATGAGTTTGAGTAAACTCCGGGATTTGGTGATGGACAGGGAGGCCTGGCATGCTGCAATTCATGGGGTCGCAAAGAGTCAGATGTGACTGAGCAACTTGATCAGTTCAGTGGCTCAGTCACGTCCGACTCTTTGCAACGCCATGGACTGCAGCACGCCAGGCCTCCCTGTCCATCATCAACTCCCGGAATTTACTCAAACTTATGTCCATCGAGTCAGTGATTCCATCCAATCATCTTATCCTCTGTCGTCCCCTTTTCCCCCTGCCTTCAGTTTTTCCCAGCATCGGAGTCTTTTCCAATGAGTCAGTTTTTCGAATTGGGTGGCCAAAGTATTGGAGTTTCAGCTTCAGTGTCAGCCCTTCCAATGAATGTTCAGGACTGATTTCCTTTAGGGTGGACTGGTTTGATCTCCTTGCAGTCCAGTCTCTGTATAGTCAAAGCTATGGTTTTTGCAGTGGTCATGCATGGATGTGAGAGTTGGACCATAGAGAAGGCTGAGCACTGAAGAATTAATACTTTTAAACTGTGGTGTTGGAGAAGACTCTTGAGAGTCCCTTGGATAGCAGAAGATCCAACCAGTCCATCCTAAAGGAAACCAGTCCTGAATATTCATTGGAAAGACATGCTGAAGCTGAAGCTCTAATACTTCGGCCACCCAATGTAAAGAGCAGATTCATAGGAAAAGCCCCAGATGTTGGGAACGATGGAAGGTGGGAGGAGAAGGCAGTGACAGAGGATGAGATGGTTGGATGGCATCACCGACTCAATGGACATGAGTTTGAGGAAACTTGGGAGACAGTGAAGGACAGAGAAGCCTGGCGTGCTGCAGTCCATGGGGTCTCAAAGAGTCAGACATGACTTAGCAAGTAAGCAACAACAACAGCATATACATTAAGAAAAGTCTGGAGATAGCTCCATGCCACTGTGCTGTACATCTGAAACTAACACAGTATTGTAAACAGTCATGTTTCAATACAACTTTAAAAAAATCAATTGAATAAAAAATAATATGGAGAAACTTCTGTTGAAAAACAAGTCAGGGAAAACAGACACACACTTTTGTACATTATGAATCATGGCCACCAGACACTCACCCAGAATGTCCCCCAAGAAGCAACAGGATGTTAAAATAGCTTTTTTGGTGAGTAGTGGGGAGGGTGAAAAATAAAGATCTGAGTATAGAGCTATCCTGATGCATTTAAAATAGATCTAGGAAGTAAGATCACAAGTTATTCTTTTCATTTTAAAATATCTTTTTTTTTTTTACTATTTTCTCAATTGCTTATTTCATAATCAGGACACTTAAATTCATAAATTCACATAAAATTTATGGCCAGGAAAAATGTTTCCCATAGATTATGAACTGAAAAAGAAGCTCACAGACCCATTGGACCAGTTCTCACGATGATGAGGGAAAGGGGAACAGCCTGGAAGTCTGGCAGGCAGGCCAAGATTGTGCCAGGGACACACCGCAGACTCTCAGAGAGGTGCTGGAGAAGGCCTGTGAGGTGGAAGGCCCCAGGGACAGCGGTACGGTGCCCGTCTGCCGTCGGCGGCGCCTGACTCACAGCCTCTTCTTTAAGTGAGCCTCTGAGTTCCCAGCCTCGTTCTAACACCTGGCTTGGGGACTTTAAACACCACAGGCCAAGCCTGAGGCCTTCCGGTGCCAGGGACGGGTAGGGAGAATCAGCCTTCGGTGATCCTGTTAGTAAAAGACTGAACCCGAGATATTTCTAGCTTCCCAAAGAGAAAATCAGGCTGGCGGGGCCTGAAAGTTACAAACAGCGGAGAACTGAGCTGGGGCTCAGAGGAGGCATTTCCACCCCAGCACACCCCTTCTAGGTGGGAACAGCCCTGTGGTTCCTCCTAGAGGTGAACTGGCCCCCATGATGTGGCTGCAGCCTCGTGGAGGAAGGCTTGGGTATCCACGGATGAGCATCAGAGGAGCTGTGCAGAGGAAACCGTATATTTCTGGCTCCAATTAAAGGATTAATTGTGTTCTCTAAATATAATATGGTAATTGTAGACATAATGGTTATTTCCTGGTAGCATATGTACTTACTGTGCTGGTAGATAAAACATCCCTGCATTAAAAGGAATTATTGTATTTGTCATAAATTCCTTTGAGAATAATTTTGCTTTCAACTCTGGGCGGGACGGTGTCTTTGATACGAGACATGAACGATTACACGGCGCGGGAAGGACAGGGGCTGCACCTGACAGGTGTGCTCCTGGGCCGGGGCCAGCGAGCTCAGTAAGACTCACCTGGGGCACATTTACATCTGAAAAACCCAGCCCCACATCCAGAGAAATCAAAGTGCCCGACACAGCTGGAGGCTTTATATTTGGAAATGAAGTGGGAACGCAGGAGTCTGAACCAACCTGCGGAGTTCAGCTGGGCCAGGCCCAGCCCGCTGATGGAGACGAGGCCCCCGGACTGTCCTCTTTAATCTGAGCTCAGGCGTCCCAGCGGACGCCCTGGAAGCGGCTCACACCTCACGCTTCCTACACGGCTGTCTCAGGGCTGGAGCTGGGCAGATAAAACTTCCCAGCCTGACAGGAAACACTCGACTGTGGGACCGTGCTGGACCTCGCCGCGGCTTCAGAATATCCACGGCAGAGACTCCGCGAGGGAGACGAGGGCATGGTTAACGGAGGGAGGGGGGAAAGAGAGAGACAGCAGGAAGACAGCGGGAGAGGGAGTGCATGTACTGCCAGGGTCTGTGCGCAGGAGACACAGGCTCTGTCCCTGGGTCCGGAAGATTCCGTGGAGATCTGGAATACTCTGGTGCTTTTGCTTGAAAAATCCCACGGACAGAGGAGCCTGGCGGGCTACAGTCCATGGGGCCACAAAGAGTCAGACACGACTTAGCGACGAACACTTTCACAGCTTGTACATGGTGATTAGATTTCTGTTCCTCAAATGTGTGAGCATCATTGCTATCATTACTAACACCGCTGCTGCCTGGCTGTGAAGGTGGGCGAGGCTGGACCTGCATGGTCTGTGCAGTCGCAGGCAGCCCCAGACGCGGTGCTGTCAGCTCCAGCCCTGGCGACAGCCCCTCCCTTCCCCACTCTTGGCTCTTGGAGGCCAGAACAGGACCCTCAAGCTCCGCACCCTGCGGGCCCCGGCACCCCCACTCAGGCGCCCAGGCCCACGTGGCTTCCCTCCCAGACCAGCAGCTTTCGGTCTCTCCCTGATGCCAGCGACAACTGCTTCGTGTTTTTGTTTTAAATTCTGTTCCTGTGTAGAAATGAGTCATTTTGCTTATGGATGCCTTGGCTGAAATGAGCATTAGGGCTCTCATCATCTCATTTTCTCTTTCTGGTTGCTGGATTCTGAAGGTCTGAGCCCTTCAGAATTCACGTGTTGGCTCCTACCCCCTCCCAATGTGGTGATGTCAGGAGAGGGGTCTGGGGGGGCGGTGAGGAGGTCATGAGGGAATCGGGACCTTATAAAAGGGAACCCAGGGAGCACCCTGCCCCTCCTCCAGGTGAGGACCCAGCGAGGAGACGCGTCTGCCCCCAGACACGGAAGCTGCCGGTGCCCTGACTGTGGACGTCTAGCCCACCGAGCTCAGAGAAAGAAGTCTCTGTTGCTTCAACAGCTCTGTCTGTGGCCTTGGGTGGTGGTTGGTGGTGGTTTAGTTGCTAAGCTGTGTCCGACTCTTGCAACCCCATGGACTCTAGCCCGCCACGCTCCTCTTGTCTGTGGCCTTGGGTGGTAGGAGCCCCAGTTGGCTAAGATGCTGGTCATGACACCCCTGGGTCCTTCAACAGTTTTCTCAGGATGGAGACCCAGTGTCCACAGACCAGCTCCTCCAAAGACACTTTAGTGACAGAAAGGGCCAGTTCTCAGCATCTCCTCACGGAGCCCCACTGGACGCGGGCACCAGCCTGATTGAAAGAGCGGCTGTGGCCCCTTCCTGCCAGTGTCAGCATCCCCTGAGACTCAGAAGAGAAGCCAGCAGGCCCTGGCCATCCGACGGGGTAGACCCCATCCACCGGGGCCTCCGTGACAGGTTGGTCCCCTGGGACATGCTCAGACTTGGAGGGGGTGGACCTGCACTGCCCCAGGATGGTCAAACGTTCCCCATGGGAGAGACAGGCCCTGGCCCTCAGCGTCCTGCTCCACGGCCCCGAGCTGTCCAGTCACGCAGACCACAGACCACTGCTGCAGAACCGGACACCCCTCTCTGCCCTGACATGCGCTCTGCTTCCTTCTGAAAGATCAAACCACTTCCTACCTGGCGGAGTGGTTCGGATTTCAGGGAATTCGTGCCACCCAACTTTCCAGGGGCATGGAAGAGTCTAACTGTGCCCTACCCCGTCACCCCCGGACCCAGCCCACGCAGATGGACAGTCCTCTAATCTGTCGATCAAGAATCTGTAACCAGAAAATTTGAAAGGTGGCATCTTTTAAGCAAACCACGCCTCCTGATCAAGCCACGCCTCCCGAGCAAGCCACGCCTCCCGAGCAAGCCACGCCTAGGGTCAGATGGTGCGGGGTGGAGCTGGGTCCCTCCTGCTGTGGCCACAGACACCCCCTCACCTGCTCTGGACTTGTGTGAGGCTTGCGGGTTGGGGGAGACGTCACCCCTCAAGTGGGGATGTCGGCTCCCTAGCAGGGCTCGTGTCTGGCATATCCCACTTTTAACATGTAGCTAAGCGTTATGGTTTGTCTGGTTAAACATCTTCTTTAAGTCTCATTACACGGCAAAGTAACATGCTTTTCATTTCCAAGATGTGATTAAACTCACATCTCCTCTTGATTGAGCTTTGGAATCTTTTATTTCAGGCAAAAAAGAAAAGAGACTTCAGAAAGGGAGCAGGCTAGTGCTGTGACTCTCGGTGAGGCCATTACATTTAATCCTCCTTTCACACTCACTCCAGGGGGGATTTCAATTAAATTTGTTCAAAATTTATCAGTTTCCTGCATGTTGGCATAAATGATTCAGGACCACTTATCTATTCACTGAGCAGAATGTACTGAAGGGTACACATTATTGTTATAACTTTTCACAGTTTCTTCATAAATTCACCTAATAGGAGTTTCTATTATTCAACACCCTCGTCCTCCACATTAAATGGTCTTGTTGTTCTTGCCCCAGTGGAACCTAATTACCTATGCAAATTTGGGGAGCACTCCTGAGTTACCAAAGCTGCTCTTTTCCCTGGTGGGCTGGTTTGCAGGACGTGGAATACGGCATTCTTTTCTCCTAGGAAAGAAGCAGGAAAACAAGTCTGCAGACCCTGAGGGCACCAGGGTGGCTCGCGGATGCATGTGTGTGTGGGTGGGGCGGGGGGTTCAGGTAACTGGCTCACAAGGCAAGAAGGAAATAAATGAATTTGGGAGCAGGTCCATCAGACTCTGGAACAGGTCAACGCTGTGTAACACAAAGAATTTATCTCTCTGGGCCGAGAAGATGAACAGTCCAGAGATCACAGTCCCCTTGAGATGACACCAGATATGTGGGTGGCCACCAAGGCCATCATAAAACTATGTGCTTATCTGTCTAAAATGATTCACTGGGCACTTTTATGACCCCAAGAATTTATCTACAGAAGTCCATTTGGCAAGGATGTGGTAACATAAAAACCCTGTGTATGGTCACATAGGAAGTACTTTTGTTCGCTTTTTCACTTGACGAACTACATCAGTGAGAAAGCGCTGGGCGTCTCAGCTACTGCTCACTCCGCTTAACTGAAGGACGATGCCCACAGGAAAGTGAGCATCTCTCGAAAGAGACACACGGCACGGACCTCACCGTTCCATCTTCTTTCGCTTGAGTTCAGATTCCACGAAGGGGAAGTGTGTTGGCCTCAAGTCAATGGTCAGGAACTTAGGGGTATGAGATGGATTTAGCCACCTCTTTCCTTTTCAGATCATCGCCGCTTACAGATTCTTCAGATTGAAGGCTGTACATGAAGAGCGTACATCTTTGCCTCCTTGCAAATAAAACAGAAAGAGCTGGTTGTCCGAAAACTAAGCATGAGATTTTTAAGTTTTATCCTTTACTTGGTAGCGAGAAATGGAATCATTCGTTCTCCACATTATCTACTGTTACAGAGTAACATTTTGCAAGCCGAGTCTAGCCAGATCAGGCGTTTTCCTGAATTCTGGTTCCTGCCACTCAGCATCTGCACTGCGTGGTCCATGCCAGCATCTCAGAACAGGAGCACCTTATGGAATTTAATCTGGTCTTTTGTGTCTTCTGGGACAAGGATTCCATTCCTCCCTCCGTCTGACTGCTGATTTCTGAGGGAAAGTGCATTTTTGTTCCTGCTCTGTTTTTTTTTTCCTCTCTCAGAGTCGAATGGTTTCCTAAGATACACATCAGTTGGAATCTCTGGAGACTTTCTTCTGGAGACCTGCCCTACGCAGATGGAGAACTCATGTTGCCCGTGGAAATGTGAATGTCAAGAGCCTCAGTCCCCCCAGTGGAGAGTCCAGAAGTGTTCAAACGCCACAGCCTGAGGGCCAAAACAGGGGCGGATTTCTCTGCAGCCACTGAAACTCTCCTCCGCCATAATCTTTCAGTGTGGAATCATTAGAACTTCAGCCAGGAATCTTTAGTGCTTTGCGACGCTCTTCTGTTGCGGTACAGAAAGTTTATAATCCCTGATCTTTGCCAACAAGGTGCCGGTAGAGATCCCAGTCATCGTGGCATCAAAAGTGCTCCCACGTCTCTCAGCTAGCTACTCGAGGAGAGAGCCACCAAAAACAATGGGAAATAAACCTTTGAAAGGGCCTTAAAGAAAGGTCATGCCAACTTCAAAACGAAGACAGTAAGACTGATGGCTGACTTCTCAGTGGAAACAATGGAAACTAGAACATAATTTGTGACATATTTTCAACATTGAAGGAAAGCAACTGCCAAAATAAAATTTTGTGCTACATGACATAACCTTCAAAAGTCACAGCAGAAAGAGGAAAGTCAATGAAAATAGCAGAGTAAGGACCTCTGAAAATTGTCTCACCCATACAGCCAAAGAGAACACTGTACAAAATTTACCAGAATCAACTGTTTCAAAGCTCTGGAAAATAGCCAAGGCTGATAGCAAACCAGGGAGTGTTTATTCAAAACAGAAAAAAAAAAAACAGAAAACATCTGAATCTCATTAGAAAGAGTGAGCTGTGGGCATGTTAATTTCCCTGTTTCCATCCTTCCCCCAGCCAGTTGTACAGCAGACTTTAAAACCTACAGCCCATAGTCGTGGCAACAAGCAGCAGCCTGGCAGGCACTGGAACAGTGGAAGGTCCTTCAAATGTCCTTCCCAAGAGCTGGCCTTGTTCGACCTGTCCCATGTCTCCCTGGGAGACTCACGCATGAGGCTGTCTTCGTTTGACTTGATTTGGAGTTCACCCAGCTGAACAGTCTTTTCCCCAGTGGTGAATGTCGAAAACAATTGAGGACAAGTTTTGAACACCGAGGTTGCTTGAAGCATTAGATCACAGCTAGGGAAGCTGTTGGGCTAACCCAGAAATCTAGGGAATGAGATGTCCCTGGGAACTTGAGAAGATCCAAGATAGTTCTTGGGATATGGATGGACATGTGTCCAGAGCTGTGCACATGCTCCAGAAAGGGCTGCAAATGCCCTAAGCTCTCACCTTTCCTTCCCTGGAGGCTCTGCACACGCAGGAGAGAAGGGGCAGAGTCACAACCTGGCTGAATGGGCGTCAGAGCTGTTCCCCCCACGCACACACAGCCCTTCAGCAAGGACAGAGACTCACGGACGTGTCTGCCCAGGCATTAGCTGGCCAGCAAACTGCCTAAGCAGAGACATCAGTGGCATGACAGAGAATACAGATGTGCAGGATTAGTTTAAAAAAGGAATAAAGTAGCCAAATGTACTCTCTACTGGGTGAAAACCATGTCTTACCAAATAGAGAATACATACATATATATATGGAAAAATTATATATAATATATACATATTAGGATATATGTATACATATATATTTCCCATATATATATATATATATGGGAAAAAAGAATCAAATACAAACTGAGAATTTGGAGAATATGACAAATGAAATTTTATTGAAGAGGCTCGACAGTAACTTGAGCGGAACTCCGTGAATTTGAAGGGAGGCTCACTGAAATTATAGAGTTGGAGGAACAGGGAGAATAAATAACGAAGGGAAGGAACGCAGCCTGTGGGCACCATCCAGTGGGCACATGCGGGCACCGTGGGCATCAGGGCAGAGGAGACAGTGGGAGGAGCCCAGGGCATCCGTGGGGATGTGAGGCCAGAGCAGGGGCCACGTGGGCTCTCAGTGAGACGGCTGAACGCATCCGCGTCAGGTCCCCGGGAGGCCAGAGGACAGCACTCTGTCAACCAAGCAGCTACATCCTGAGAAACTATTCTTTAAAGACAAGGAGAAATTAAGGCGTTCCCCAGTAAAGAAAAACTGGACAAATATGTTACAATCGGATGGGTCATATGTTAGGTCAGGAAAAGAAAAGTCTCAATGCCTTTAAAAAGATTGCAATTAAGTTTTCTAACAAAATGGAATAAAATTAGAACTCAATACCTGAAATAATTTGGGAAATCCACAAGCAGGTACTGATTAAACAGCACAGTTTTAAATAATAACCGGGGACTTCTCTGGCAGCCCAGTGGTTGAGGGGGTGTGTGTCCAATCCCTGGTCCGGGGGCTAAGATCCCATGTGCCTCACAGCCAAAAAATCAAAACATAAAACAAACAATACTGTAGCAAATCCAACAAAGACTATGAAAAATGGTCCCCATCAAATAATAATAATAATAACTTAAGTAAACGATAATTGGGACAAAAAAGACTCACAGGATAAACTAGAAATACTTTGAAATAAGCACAAAGAAAGACAGTATACAGAACTTGATGTCATTCAGGTGAAGCGGTGCTTACAGGGAAATTCATAGCTTCTCGCCCGTGTTAAAAAGAAGCATCTCAAATAACCTCATCAGCTAGTGAAAGAGAGAGGAGCCCGGGGTACCGCAGTCCAGGGGGTCACAGGGGGTCAGACATGATTAGCAACTGGACAACAATAGCAACATGTAAAAGAATAAAATTAGGGCACTCTCTAATACCATATACAAAATTAAACTCAAAGTAAATTAAAGGGCCAAATGTAAAACCACGTGGCACAAAACACCTAGAGGAAAACAGGCAGAACACACTTTGACATAAATTGCAGGATTTGGGGGGCAGGGATCTGTCTCCAAAAGCAAAGGAAACAAAAGTAAAAATAAACAGATGGGACATAATTAAACTTAAAGGCTTTTACACAGCAAAGAAAATCATTGACAAAATGAAAAGACAACCTACTGACTGGGAGAAAATGTTGTAAATGATATGACTGATAAGGAGTTAATATACAACATACATAAACAGTTCATACAACTTAACCTCGAAAACAAACAAATGTCCTGATTTAAAAAAAAACAAATGGAAGAAATAGACATTTTTTCAGAGAGGAAATGCAGATGGCCAACAGGCGAATGAAAAGATGGTCAACATTGCTAATCATCAGGGAAATGAAAATCAAAACTGCAAGGAGATATCACCTCACACCTGTCAGAATGCCATCAACAAAAAGAACACAAATAACCACTGTTTGTGAGGATTTGGTGAAAAGAGGAGCCTCTTGTATTGTTTGTGGGAGGGTAAATAGTACAGCCCCTGTGGAAAATAGTATGGAGGTTTCTCAAAAAACTAAAAATAGATCTATCCTATGACCCAGAAATTCTACTCCTGGGTACACATCAAAGACAAAAACACAAATTCGAAAAGATACGTGCACCTCAATGCTCATAACATTATTTACAGTTTCCAAGATATGGAAGCAGCATAAGTGTCCATCGACAGATGAATGGATAAAGATGTGATATATATATTACTCAGCTATAAAAAATAATGAAATTTTTCCATTTGCAGCAAAATGTGTGGACTTGGAGGGCATTAGACTAAGTGAAATAAGTCAAACAGAGAAAGACAGATACTGCATGATATCACACATGTGTAACCTAAAAAAATATAAGAAACTAGTGAATATAACAGAAAAGCAGGAGACTCAGACACAGAACAAATTAGAGGTCACATGGGCAGAGGGAGGGGGGGCTAACCTAAAGGTGCAGAAAGGAAAGGTTATTTTGGAATTCTAGGTAATCATGAGTGTGAAAATTCTGAAAACTGTAAAATACTGTAAAACTTAAAGATTCTTTCGTCCATTAACCAAAAGAAACCTACAGCTAACAAAATAATCAAGAGAAACACAGTGAGATGAGACAGAAATGTCCCTTCTCACCACTCCTTTTCAACTTCATACTGAGAGTCCTAGCTAATGCAATAAAAGGTGTGCAAACCGGGAAGAAGAGATAAAACTGTCTTTGTTCACAGATGTTATGATCGTCTACTTAGAATATCTTAAATAATTGACCAAAAAGAAAAAAACCCTCCTGGAACTGATAAGCTATTAAAGCAAGTTTACAGAATATAAAATTAATATACAAGTGTCAATTACCTTCTTAAATACCAGAGATGAATAATTTGACTCGAAATTAAAGACTCAATAGCATTGCATTGGTACCCCTAAAAATGAAGTGCTTAGGTATAAATCAAATAAAACATGCAAAACATCTGTATAAAAAACCCACAAAACTCTGATGAATAAAATCAAAGCACTAAATAAATGCAGAGACATTCTATGTTCATGGATAGAAAGACTCAATACTATCAAGATGTCAGTTCTTCGCAATTCAGTCTCTAGATGCAATGCAAAACCCCATCAGGTTGTTTTGAGGATACTGACGAGCTGATTCTGGAGTTTATGCAGAGACACGAAACACGCAGAATAGCCAACATACTGAAAGACAAAAACTCAGCTTCCCAGCTCCCAGGCTTGCTGTAAAGCTGCAGTGAGGAAGACAGCGAGGAGCTGCTGAGAGAGCTCACAGACGCCAGCACTTGTTTGTGAGACTCACCACCTCCCTCATTGCCCCCAGACCGGCCCACCCCCTCCCACCCCAAGCCGGTGAGCGCCGCACCCTGCATCTGTCTGTGGGGCTCAGGTCCGGCAGTGTTCATCACACAGGTCCTCCTCGGGCCCCTCGCTGCGTGTCCTCAAGCCTCCTGAGAGGAGCTTCGCTGGCCCCCACGGGTTCTGGTCCTTCTGCCGCACAGGAGTCCTTTCCTCCTTAGGACAAAGACGTAGATAAAAGCCGCAGTTTGCAGCAGCGCTTGGGCAAAGGCAATCACAACCATTTTACATGTTACAAGATTTGCTTTGACCAGGAAGTTAATTTTTCCCTCGGATTTTAAAAGGAATGAAAACATTTCCAGGGGGCCCAGGGAGGCCTGCTGCGTTCAGTGAGGCAGCGGAGTCAGCGTTGCCCCCAGTGTCTCTGACTCTCCTTTTCCTTTAGAGATGTGTTTGTGTGTTTATTGCTGTGTGGACTTTCTCTGGTGGCGTGCGCAGGGGCTGCGCTTCGCTGCAGGGCCCGGCTTCTCCTCCTGGCGGCTTCTCTGGTCTGGAGCACCACTCGAGGCACACAGGCTGCAGTATTCGCAGCGTCTCTGACGACTTGCCTTTTCTCTTTCCTGCTACTGTGCACGCCTGGGGAAAGGGGCGCAGTCAAGGGTCCGGCAGTCAGCCCTGATGGAGGTTGGCCCTGGAAGACCACGGCCGGGCCTCCTGCTGTGTCCAGGCCTCGCACGTTCTCAAGAAGACAGCCCGGGCTCCGCTGCTGGAACAGCGTATGCAGCGGTCAGCGGCAGCCGCGGAACAAGTGACCCCCAGCCGTCCGTCCGCTGGAGACGCCAAGTGGGGCGGCTTGGGAAGTCTCCCCGCCGGCTGGACCGGCTCTGCGGAAGCTGCGTGATTTGATTTCATGCCCTCGACATTTGCTTGTTCCAGTTTCTGAGGAGCGACCCTCCCGCGAGACCTCTCACACTTCCACAGACAACGCTCCTAGAAAGTCTTCTTTATATGAGGCCACACTGCATCCCCATAGCACCCACTCACTGGTCCCGATTCTCTTCTCTAAAAAGTGCTCAGATGCATCCATATTTTCCTTCTCTTTCAGAACTACGACACATGTGGCTAAAGATTGCATAATGCTTATGTCTAAGGCAGGCCGGGACGGGGGGCGGCAGCCTGAGCTTCTGTGGCCATTCACACGTGGTAACGGATGTTTGCCTGCCCGGGCGACCTTCCTCTCAGCTCCAAGGGGCTGCAAGGCGGCAAGGCGCTCCCCTAAGCCCTCCCCTGAACCTCTCTCCTGCCCCTCCATTACAATGGGTGCAGACGGAGCATCCGAAACATTTCCGGGCAGCTTGCTCTGTGAGCAATCAAGTGACATGGCAGCCGCACCATTACTTATCAACTTGCATTAAAGTTTCATGGGCGTGCTATCAATTATGGAGGACCGAACGCTGAGGCCCAGCTGTGTGCCCCAGTTCCCTTCTCAAGAGCCTGAGTCTGGGAGCAGGAAGCCTCTTCACCACCTCTCACGGCTGCAGCTTCTGAAGCAGAAAATACAGGACAAAACCGAAAACCCATGCTGAAGACAAAGGCAGGGGTGGACTGCAAACCTTCAGGAGAGATTATTAATAAGACACGGGCACAGTTCCTGCCAGTCGGCACTAACTTCGGCAATTCTCGGGGGAAGCCTTTCTTCTAACGATTTGGTGGGTCCGATTCTGTCCACAAACGTCCCTGATTAGACACCGTCCTGTCCATTCACAGGGTGGTGAGCTAGCGGCCAGTACCACACGTCCGTGGTCATCGCCGGTTCCCTCTCTGGCCCTAGATGAAGCAAATGCTCTTGCTTTCCGGAATGCAAAGGTCTCACCCTAAACCTTCTGTCGTTCTACACATTTCTTACTGAATGGCTCTCAGGACATCTCTCCCCACCATCACAGGTCACAAGGCCCAAGGAGAAAGATGACACTTTTGTGTTAGTTCTGCAGGTTGCTCCTCAATGAAATTTAATTCCCTCTGCTTAAAGTATACTCATTATTGCATGAAGATAAGGCACGGGGTCATTAAACAGAAATTAAGAATGAGATACCCTTGCTCTTTCAGATAGGAGATGAGGGCTTGGGCTCCCGGGAGCACTCGGTTTGGATGAGTGGGTACAACATATTTTCATGTTGAGAGTGTCACCTCTGTGCCCCCGGGAGGGGGGCCTCGGGGACTCAGGAAGGATGCTCCCCTGAGCAGAGCAAGAAGCATCACTGCGTGTGGTCCACGTGTGTGTTACGCACCTCACCCAGCTCTCAGGCTGGCGCGAAACAGCTGTAAGAAGGCAGGAGAGCTTACTTCTTGACTCAGAGTCGGATGCAACTTGATTTTTAAATAATTGGGTTAAGCTACGAAAGGTTCTGAGACAAGTGAGTTAACAAACCCCTTATTATTTTTAATGACAATGTATTAAAATATATTAGTATTTTAAACCTTCCCTAGCGTTGAATACAAATTAACGAAATGACTTCTTAAACCTAGTTGGTCGTGTTCAACCAAAAGCGAAAGAAGTGAAAAATGCTCACTTTGTCGTTCAATTATTAGCTTGTGTCTGCGAGATGGCCATACCGCCACCACAGTCGAATCCACCTCCAGCCCATTTCTCACTTGAAAAAAATCCTCCTTATTTCTCCTTGCTTGTGAACTGGTTAAGTTTGGGGTCAGTGAGCTGGTCACTAAAGGGGTGACTACCATCAGGGTGCGGGAGACCATCAGTGGTGAGGCCCCAAGTTGGTCTGGGGTGGGCAGGGGGCAAGGATGCAGAGAAGAAGGTACAGACATGTTCAAGCACCTACTGCAAAAACCACGCAGGCACGATGACGACGAGGTGTTCCCACAAAGCGTGGCTTATGCTCCTGGTTGTGCTGGGGGCGGGGGCGCGGGGAGGATGAGTGCGGATCCAGGGCCACCAGCCTCTGGGGTCGGGGGAACTGCGTCAGTCCAGAGGACGCATCTGAAGGAGCTGCTGAGACGGGCGAGCAAACCCTGCCCCAAGGAGAGCCGCAGGGGGCCTCCCCTAGGGGCTGGCGCGGGGCAGACGCAGGCTGGAAGGAGAGGCTGTGTGGGGCAGGAGGAGAGGCTGGTACCCGAGGTTTACCGCCGCCCCTGCCAAGACAGAGCCTCACCGGGCTCTCCTAGGTGTGGTCTCTGCTCCTGGCCTGAGCCCGGGCCTGGTGGCCAGCACACACACCAGTGCCCAGTGGACAGCTGCTCCCGGGACCCTCGAGCCTGGGCCTCCGGGGGAAGGTCCCCCCAACCCCAGAGGCTGGTGCCCCTGGGTCTACACCCAGCCCCCCACATGCCCCCAGCACAGCCAGGAGCATACTGTGAGTGTGTCCAGGGCTTGCGGTGAAGCAGTGTCGTGGGAAGCAAGGGGACCCCAGTGGGGGCAGTGAGATCCCTAAACAGAGAGAGGTCGGCCCTTGGGAAGAGCCCACCGCTCAAACGCTATCCTGGGACAAGGGAAGGGGGCCTCCCCCGCTCCCTGGGAGCGGCAGGTGGGGACCGTGAGTGGCGTCATCACCCAGATGGTGTGACGCCCGACATCCTGAGAGCCTGGGAGGAGTCTGGACTCTGAGCCCAGACCCAGGTGCCTCCCAGGGACACGGCGTGACCAGACAGGCAACAGTGGGTGGGTGACCAGGCACGGGGCCCCCCTGGACACGGGACAGCAGCCCCCAGGCCGCAGTGCAGGCAGGTGACATATGGGCAAGGCAGCAGGGCTCCGCTGTGCCTTGGCTCATGGGAGCTCCGCCTGGTGTCGTGGCAAAGAAGGCGCTGTCAGCATTGGGTAACCTTGACTCCCACGGGCCAGGCGTGCAGACAGGGCCCCCGGGACCCGCTCATGTAAGGAGGCTCCATGCGGGGAGAGCGTCCGTGTGACTAGACCACGGGTGCCCGAGCAAGCTCATCCCCTCAGGGCATTTCCGGGCGGGATTTGGTCCCGAGGAGCAGGATCGCCATCTCTGCTGCCACAGGAGGCGCTGGAAGCCAGAGCAGCCCCGAGCGGAGGAGCCCACCCAAAGATGCTCCTCCCGAGTACGTGTGCCCCGCAGGCGTGCTTCACTGGCTGTGGGGGTGAGGGGCAGCGGTGGCTGGCACGCCTCAGCCATCAGGGCGTCTGTGTCTATTACACACGTGTTTTTCTCGTAAATCGTCGCAGAGGTCAGCTGATCGGCCTGAGAGCTCAACCCTTCCAAAGTGCCTGCTCCTCCAGAATTCGGGGAGAGAGAAAACACTGACCCAAATGTCTTCCCAGACTGAATGTCCGGCCCTCTCGGCCACACCAGCAGAGCTGACGTTCACGTTGGCCTGTGTATGTGGGGCAGAGGTGCATGGTGGTGTGCATGCGAACATGAGTGCGAGTGGCTATATGTGTGTGCTTGCAGCTGTGTAAGTGCCTATTGGGTGTGGGCACATATGTGTGCTTATGTGTGCATGAGTGTGAATGCTTGCATATGCCTCTGAATGAGGGAACATGTGTCTTTATGTGCAAACATGCATTGCAAACAGATGTTTTCACATTTGTGTGTTAGTGGGTGCACACATGTGGCATAGGGTGTGTGCACGTGTGTATAGATGAGCACCTATGTGTGCATAGGTGTGCATAAACTTGTGTGTGAGCCACAGTGAATGCGTGCTAGTGTGTGTGCAGTTACCTGCATGAATGTGCACCCCTGTGTGTGCAAGCACTTGTGTGTGTATAAATGTATGCTCGTGGTATATGTGAGTGTGTGTTTGTGTATCACACACCTTTGTGCACCCGTGTGAGCATGCATATGGAGGCTCATGAGTGCACAGATGCACATGTGTAAAAATGAATCTGCACATAATATTTAGGGATGTGTGGGGGGCCATATGTCAAATGTGATTTTAAGTGGGTGTGCACAGGTGCATGAGTGTGCAAGTACCACTGTGAGCATGCACACACGGGTATGCATGTGCATTTGTATGTTCGTGGGTAGCCTTGTAAGTCTATACTTGTACATGTGTGTGTCTGCACTTGTGTGGACACTAATTTTGTGTTCACCTGTGCACGTGTGCTTTATATATGTGTCCATATGCGCTTGCTTGTGTGTGTGCGTTGCACACACATGTGCCTCTGTGCCTCCGTGTCAGAGCCTGCCTGCTGTGTGCACATATACGTGTGCACACCTGAGTGGGAGATGTGCACATGTGTGTCTGTGCACACATGCAGACCTGCATGGCCACGGGTGCATAAATGTTCTCGTGTGAATGTGTACACACCATAGACATGTGTACGCAGGTCCAGGAGTGCCCACAACGTGTGCTCACGTGTGCTGTGGAAGAGGCAGTCCTGTGTGAAGCAGGGAGAATAGCTTCTCTTGGCTGGTGGCTGAGTCTGGGCCCAGGACCACCGCATCCTGGCCCTGAGTCCCGTGTGAGCTCTCAGACCCTCTGAGCCTCTGCGTCCTCATCTGTGAAGTGGGGCCCTTCAAACAGAACCTGCCTCTCCGGGTCACTGTGAAAAGCAGACAAGTGACCTTGTGAGCTGACCTGGAGGCGGGCACAGAGGCCCCACTGTCTCGGTTGTGGGTATTGTTAACTTTGCTGTTATTATGCTGACCCTGTGGTTGAGGTTACCGGGGGCTCTCTTTTCTGCCTGTTGTCCTGGTACCTGTAATGATGTCTGTTTCACTTCAGTGTGGGCCATAAATCACAGCTTTTCACTGTTTAGGCAGATGGATTTAGAAATCATTATCACATTATGAATTCTCCTGCCCTTTTATTGAGGTGGAGAGAGACTGACTGCCTACCTCTCTTACTGAGCCAGCACCTACTTCTGCTTTTCCCAGCAGCCATCAAGCGCACTGTGTTATTAAACTCCCTGACATGTGGCCTAACCAGGGTGGAGTCTGGAGCATCCAGGGGAGTATATATCACTCAGAGACGTGTGCAGTTAGAGTCAAAATCCACCCCATCCCATCACTATTTGTTAGGCGAAATTAGAATGAAAAGATGAATAGCGATATAATTCTTTCTAAAGAACAAGCCTTCACTAACATTCCTAAATAATCACTTTAAAAATTATTTAAATGCCATTTGAAAAATGACCATGTAATTTTAAAATTCTATATTTAGGATTGCTTTTTATACAAGTTTGCCCAGAAGCATGTGCTATTCAGAAAAGTGAGCAATTAGGCCTCTTCTGAAGCTTTTCTTTTAGGAAAACATCCAGCTTCAATGTGCCATTAGAATCAGAATTTAGTAATTTCATGATCAGAGTTAGCCGTTCCAGAGGGTGGTCTTCCGGTAGCACTGTTATGCTTGGGGAAAAGTCGCGCCACTGTATTTGAAAGTATATCTGCACGTGATGCCAGGTATAGACCAGCGTGGCTGAGGGCAGGGCTCAGCTCCTGGGGTCTGGCTGAGCCCACACAGAGCAATCTCTCAGGCGACACAGACTCATAGGAAGCTGCTTATGCAGGAAAAGTCAGACTTCTTCTGACTGTAAGTGAGGTTGCAGGAGCCTCGCTGTGGTTCTCACCCAGCCTGTGGTGCCGACTCTGTCCAGGCACGTCCATGCTCCACGGGGCAAGGAGCAGTGTGTCGGGGTCCCAGGCAGCCCCTTACTGCCTGTGATCAATCACTCCCTCCCTCCAGATGTTTGGGCACGCCGCCTAGCCGAGCTTCCCGCGGGGCACTAGTGGGAAAGGTCCCGCCTGCCAGTGCAGGAGACATAAGAGATGTGGGTTCCATCCCTGGGCCGGGAAGACGCCCTGGAGGAGGGGAAGGCAACCCACTCCAGTCTTCTCGCCTGGAGAATCCCATGGACAGAGGAGCCTGCCGGGCTACAGTCCACGGGGTCGCAAAGTGTTGGACACGACGGAAGCGACTTAGCACACGTGCACCATCAAGCCAGGAGGAAATAATGTGTGTCCTCTGTCTTCAGGGTCCGGGCAGAGACACCCTGGTCCTTACAGGAGCTTGGACGAGCCTTACCTGGGGCTGCCCCTGCTCAGCCTCGCGAGGGCCTGCTCCCTGTCCTCCCCAGCCTGGCTCACACTCCCCACTATGGGCAGCTAGCCCGCTTCCTACCAGACTCCCAGTGCCGGGGATCACCCTGAGAAAACAGAATTCAAAGGCAGCGGGAAGTGGGCTGGGGGTCCTGAAGGCCCCAGAGCAGGGCACTGACCATCCGGCCAGCTGGAGAGGAGAGGGTGCCTCTAACAAAGCCCGCCCCCTGCAGCCCACCACCCTCCCGCCCGGCCCAGGGCACCGTGCGGGTGCTCCCCGAGCCGGGTCCTCCATAGGAAGAGGGTCCACGGGTGGCAGCCAGAGGCATCTGGAGCCTCCTTGAGGACCAAGAAAAGTGGACGCCTCGGTCCACGGCACCCACTGGAAGGGCGGACGCAGCTCCTGGGAGTCTCCAAGCTGTGGAGGAGCCTAGGGGTGAACGTGTTTTGGCTGGCCAGGTCATTTCTCCGTCCTTACAGAACGGAAGTCTCGGGTACCGTTGATAGGAAATACCTGTTGGTCATTACTTAAAATACCTGCCTGCACAGACTTGCTCGGAGTTCGTCCAGTGTTCCCTCTGCTCCCAGGACTGGGGAGGGGAGGCGTTCTGTTAATATTCTAGAAAACTACAGGAGGAGAATTTGGTAAAGGGTAGGTAACCCTTGCAGTTGCTGCTGTTCACCCGAAGGCCATGTCCGACTCTGCAGCTCCGTGCGCTGTAGCCACCAGGCTCCTCGGACCGTGGAGTTTTCCAGACAACAGTACTGGCGTGGGTTTGCCATTTCCTTCTCCAGGGGATCTTCCCAACCCAGGGATCAAACCCACGTCTCCTGCAGTGCAGGCAGATTCTTTACTGCTGAGCCACCAGGGAAACCCCTGGGTAATCACACTGCTGTATTTACATTTCTCTCTTGATCCCTTATTTTCAGTGAGAAAATCCCTACGCTGAAGCCTTAAGCCCCTGGACTGTTTTTGAAGATGCTGCTTCTAAGGAGGTTATTAAGGTCATGTGAGGTCACAGTACTGATCCAATGGGAAGGGGTCCTTATGTGAAGAGGCAGAGGCCCCGGAGGTCTCTCCACTCACGCTCTCTATGTCGAGGACACCTGAGGACACAGCATGCCGGCAGCCAGCTGCACTCTGGGCAGAGTCCTCACCAACTGCGCCCTGCTCCCAGCCTCCAAAATCGTGAGCACTCAATGTCTGCTGCCCTATCTGTGATATTTGTTATGGAGCCCAAGCTGACTATGGCAGGTGGGTTCTGATTTATTGACTTGATAATATTTACTGTATCAAAAAAGCTTAACCATTTGAATGTATCTCTAATGATGCCCCTATTTTTTCAGCATGAATTTTTGCACAAGTCATAAAAATATCTCTACCTTAAAATAGACGAGTACTTAAAAAAAAAGGGAAGGGTGGGGGTGTTGTGTTCAGTTGCATCCGACTCTTTGCAGCCCAATGGGCTATAGCCCGCCAGGTTCCTCTGTCCTTGGAATTTTCCAGGCAAGAATACTGGAGTGGGTTTTCCTTTAGTCCTCCGGGGGATCTTCCTGACTGAGGGATCGAACCCATGACTCTTGCATCTCCTGCATTGGCAGGCAGATTCTTTACCAATGAGTCACTGGGGAAGTCCATGAAAAGTACTGAAACATCATTTTAATATTTAACAATAAACTATAAAAATATATAAAGCAGCATAAAGTACAAGAATGTCTGAATGACAGCCCATTTAAATGAAAAAATAAAAACTAACAGTAAAAAAAGGATAACAAAATAAGAGGAGTCGTGAATTACAGCAGAAGCCTGTCTCACGGATGCCAGTGGTATTTCACGAAACAATTAAGCCCTAGACATTTTGCTGCAGTAGCCAGGATTCTACTGTGAAGGGATTGAGATTTACTGGGAAAGGTCTTTCCTGATGATTAAACCTCAATTGATTAATAAAAACCCAGCTATGGAGGCTCAGCAAGCACAGTATATGACCGGTCTGCTTCTATCACATACTTGTTAAACCTCCATAAACACCTTTTAAAGAATCGTTTTGTCTTTAATTAGCGTGCACTCACTGTCCTATTAAATCTAAATTAAGTCTTTACTTGAGGCCATTAATTTGGAGACTCAACCAAACGTGGACACCTGCAAGGCAGTGATTTCAGCTTCTGGCGACCGTCAGGGCCCACCAGCTCTGTGACATTGAAGGTTCAAAAGCTTGGCTGCACCTGCTCGTGTGGAGTGTATATGAGGGTGTGTGTGCATGTGTGTCCCTATGGGTGCCTGTCTAGGCCAAACACCCCTTGGCCACTCTATCCATCAGAAAAGCACAATGTAGGGACTTTCCTGGTGGTCCAGTGATTGAGTCAAATTGCCAGATGCGGGGGACACAGTTTCCACATGCGGTTGAGGAAGGTTCCACATGCCAAAGGGCAACAAAGCCTGTGCGCCCCAATCATGGAGCCCAAGCTCTAGAGTCTGTGCTCCGCAACAAAAGAAGCTACTGCGACGCTCACTGCAACTAGAGAAAGCCCGAGGGCAGCAATAAAGGCCCAGTGCAGCCAAAGGCAAATAAATAATTGCTAAAAAAGAAAAACACAGCTTATTAAACAGATATTAAAGTCAAATTCTTATAGGTCTTCTTAGAACTGCTTCATTTCAGTGTCTTCAGCACTAGTGGTTGGGGTATAGAACAAGATCATGGCATCTGGTCCATCACTTTATGGCAAAAAGTAGAAACAGTGACAGGTTTTATCTTCTTAGGCTCCAAAATCATTGCAGATGGTGACTGCAACTATGAGATCAAAAGATGCTAGTTTCTTGGAAGAAAAGCTATCGTAAACCTAGACAGCATATTAAAAAGCAGAGACATCACTTTGCCAACAAGGTTTGCATAGTCAAAGTTATGGGTTTTCCAGTGGTCATGTGAGGATGTGAGAGTTGGATCATAAAGAAGGCTGAGCACCAAAGAGTCGATGCTTTCCGGCTGTGTTCCGGAGAAGCCTCTTGAGAGTCTCCAGGGCAGCAAGGAGATCCAACCAGTCCATCCTAAATGAAATCAACCCTGAATTTTCATTGGAAGGACTGATGCTGATGCTGAAGCGCCAATACTTTGGCCACCTGATGTGAAGAACAGACTCATTGGAAAAGACCCTGAGGCTGGGAAAGATTGAAGGCGGGAGGAGAAGGGGACAACAGAGGATGGGATGGTTGGATGGCATCACTGACTCCATGGACATGAATTTGAACAAACTCTGGGAGACAGTGAAGGACAGGGAAACATGGTGTGCTGCATTTCATGGCATCTCAAAGAGTCGGGCAAGAGTTAGTGACTAAACAACAACAAAATTAAATTCTATTGTGAAGGCTAGCCATTTGTTAACTTTGAAATATTCTGCACGATGAGACACCATGAGAACTCATGACTTGGGTCTCTGAGGTTCTGGGTTTTAGGCTCAAGTCTTCCAACAACTTTTCCCCCTGCCTTCACTTCCAAGTATCCTTAAAAATATTTTCAGATTTAATGTTTTCTGAGAGTCTTCCTATACTAAAAGTATGTGATAGCAAAATAATATTTAAATGCCAGTTTTTATAGTTAATTTCACAGTGTCTGAAATTCAAACGTGCTTTAAATTCTAGTGCATTTTCATTCTGAGGATAGGGCTGAAAACAACACAGGAATGGATGCAAATGAAGGTGTAAACGAGTTTCTAAGAAGTATTCGAGGTGATCGCCTTTCCATCCTAGGGTTATCCCCTACCATTGGCAGTAGGTGGGCTCGTGGATCCCAAGAGCCACTGGGGGCTGGTCTAGTCTGTGAAACCCAGCCCTGTAATGCATAGGTTCATGCTGATTAATTTGAGTTCTCTAGGGCTTCTCTGAATTTCCCAGGTGGTGGCAGTGGTAAAAGAACCCGCCTGCCAATGCAGAAGACTTAAGAGAAGCGGGATCGATTCCTGGGTCAGGAAGATCCCATGGAGAAGGGCATTCCCAGTATTCTTGCCTGGGAAATCCCATGGGCAGAGGGGACTGGTGGGTTACAGTCCATACTGTGGCAAAGAGTTGGATATGACTGAAGTGACTTAGCATGTAGGCCTTCTCTAAAACTATATTTATTCACAAGTGATGACTGAAAAGAAAGCAGAGAGAGATAAGAAGATGCAATGTGTATTTAATTGTCAAATTAAATTGTGTCTCTTACAGAAAATGATCCGTGTGAGATAAGAATGAGATTGTTTTAATTGGCTAAATAATTGTATAAATAATTCTAATTTACAAATTGTTTATTCCCTATGTATGTTTATCATCCAAAAAGTTGTCTCTGGTAATGAGGTAAGATTTATCACTTGTCTGCTGTGTTCCAGGTCCTCTGTTCACTGTCTTATTTAATCCTCGCAATAGCCATATGGCGGAGGCATCGTTCTTGGTCTAATTTTACAAATGAAGCAACAGAGGATCTTAGACAGATTGCTTTAAAGCAGCCACTGTTTTGAATTTGCACAACTTTTAAAGTTCTTTTCTGTTTTATTTGCTTACCTCTTGCATTTCACTTTTATGAACTATTGAATGATTTTTGCTCATTTTTATTTTAAAGTATTACCTTGCTCTGATAAATATTTGTGTTATTTTAACAATTATTTTTACATTAAGAAGATTTTAAACAAATCTGGATGTAACACTAACTTTTACTTTTTTTTTTGTTGCCTTTGGTGTTATGAGTAGGAGGACTTTTCTTATAGGAGATTATAAAGGTAAATGCTCATTTGTGGTTATCTTGTTTTATCTTATTTTTATCTACTGCCCAGTGCCGTTAAAATGTGGTTAGAGCAAATGAAGTAAGCTTTAAGTAGAAACCACACATGGGGTGCAAGGGTTTAGTATGAAAACAAGATAAAACAGCTTAAAAATATTTTTTCAATTGAGTACAAGTTGAAATGACATGATTATGATATATTGGATTAAATAAAATATGTTATTAAAGTCAATTTCACATTCTCCCTATACTTTTCTCAAGTGGCTGCTAGGAAGCTTACAACTGCCTCTGTAGTTCGCATTGTATTCCCATTGGATGACACTCCCCTGGTGCATTTTACTTTATACTTTTAGTTGCATACACATATATCATCTGTGTGTGTACATGGATACATGTTATCTGTACATATGTATATAAAGGACTTCCCAGGTGGTACAGAAAAAGGAAAAGTGAAGTCGCTCAGTCGTGTCTGACTCTTTGCGACCCCATGGGCTGTAGCATACCAGGCTCCCCCGTCCATGGGATTTTCTAGGCAAGGGTACTGGAGTGGCTGCCATTTCCTTCTCCAGGGCATCTTCCTGAGCCAGGGATTGAACCTGGGTCTCCCTCATTGCAGGCAGACACTTTGCCATCTGGGCCACCAGGGAAGCCTGGTACAGTGCCAAAGAATCTGCCTGGCCGCGCATGAGGAGTAAAAGATGCAGGTTTGAACTCTGGGTCGGGAAGATCCCCTCGAGAAGGAAACGGCAGCCACTCCAGTAGTCTCGACTGGAGACTCTCGTGGGCAGAGGAGTCTGGTGGGCTATAATCCACGGGGTCACAGCTAGTCAGACATGACTGAGTACACACACACGTACATATATGTACGTAATGTGTGTAGTGTACTTGCATAAAATATATGCATAAATATATACATGTATATAATCAGAAATTTATTTTGATATTTTGTAACTTGAAAAAATGATAAGGCAACAGATCAAAGTCATTTTTTAAAAACAATGACTGTCTTCTTGGTGTCAGAAATGCTGACATAACATATCAAGTTCTTATTCATAGCTGAGTCTATGTCTGGACTTCCCACTCTGTCTCACTGGCCCACTCATAAGCGTTTTAACTCTTGCGCTTCTGTTAGACACTTTACTGCTGGTATACTTTAGAATACCTTTAATTGCCTTCTGGCGGCACTGGGTCTCTGGCTGCGGTAGGTGAGGTTGCGCTCTGCAACCTCTGCAGAGAAGCCCACTGCAGTGGCTTCTTCCGTGTGGAGCGTGGGCGCCAGGGCACACAGGCTCGGTGGCCGCAAAGTGCAGACTCGAGCGCAGCGGGTGCAACAGCTGTGGCGCATTGTTGACCTGTGGCATATGGAATCTTCCCAGACCAGGGATCAGACCCAGGCCCCCTACATTGAGAGTGTGGAGCCTTAGCCACTGGACCACCAGGGAAGTCCCAGTAACTAATATTTTAAAAGTATTTTTTCATCTAATTATCTGTTTTTGCCTATTGACTGGCTGATGTGAAGATTTATTTTAATAGCTTTCTTAACATAGAATACCACTGAATTTATAAAATAAAGTCAATTTAGTCTTGACACATTCTACATCTAATATATTCTCAATAATGCATTGTCAATATCAGAACAGCCTAAATAAGTTTATATTTCATCACTTTTGAATTAATAAAAGTAGTAAAAATAATTTAAAACTTCAATATCAAACTAGGCTTATCTGTGTACCCTACCAGATTATCCCCACTGGAACCTCGACATTTTGAAGACAATGGGTAGAGTATGATCTAAATGCTACCAAGTCACCCTTGCTGACCCTCACCTACGGCTCTGCCATCTGCTTTTTTCAAAAGAAGTTCTTGGTGCCCTATTAGATCCTCTCTTTAGAATACTTCATGCCTACTTTTCCTTTCCATAGTCAAAGTCACTTAATTTTAAACTTTAAACCTTATTTATAATATTTCTGTCAACTTGTCAAGGAAAAGTTATCTCAGCACACTAATAACTTTCCTTTCTGCAGCATAGCTTTTTGTTAAAGTTATCATTTTTTTTCTTTAAAGCCTTAGGATATAAAAAAGAAAGAAATGGTATTGGAGTCATATAAATTGATAGGATATGTTCAAGTTTATATTCAGTTCAGTCCAGTTGCTCAGCCGTGTCTGACTCTTTGTGACCCCATGGACTGCAGCATGCCAGGCTTCCCTGTCCATCATCAACTCCTGGAGCTTGTTCAAACTCATGTGAATCTAGTCGGTGATGCCATCCAACCATCTCATCCTCTGTCATCAAATCAATCAGAAAGTTGAGATATTTTTATGAAAGCAAAATTTTAATTAGGGTTGTTAATTGTACTCATATATGCCTTATCACTCATTTTTATGCAAGTTTATTCAGCTTATATAGTATCATGAATCCTCAAACTTACAGAAATAAGCAATTGCAGCTTGTGGAAACTTTTTAAATTGAAAAGTAAACTTTTCTAATTGCAAAGTCAAGTTGTGCTTCAATTGAACCTATATGGTAGCTTGAACAATAACAACAACAAAATGCTGCAGTAGTTAAGTTAAAGCATTGAAGACACATAATGGCACAAAACTACATCTTCTGCTTGCTAAGCATGTGATCAGAGGGGGTCCATATGTCTGATGATGTTTTCACATCACTTTGAATCTTCATTCTTCCATATAAAGTATTTATCAAATGTAGCTTAAATAGTGTCATAACTTGAATACCTCACATATCTCACTGTTGGTTTTGGTTAGGTATCTACTCAAGTATCTACTCAAGTTTCAAAAAACCATAAGTTATGTTTGGTTGTTTCTTGAAATTCCCATCTCTTCCCTTGCTTTATGCCCAGGTATAAGCATTATATTTTAACACCAAGTTGTCCAATTAGGTTATTCATCATTTTAAAGGTCAGCTAGAGTTATTAAAACTTCTCGAATGTAGTAAATAAATGCTCCATTACATGGGAAGTGTCACATGTTGACTCAGCTTTGCACAGCTACTAGAGGTGCCAACATTGCATGTGTTACCACATCAGCAGATGCACACAGGCTTTGTTCTTAAATGGCTGCACAGAGCCGCACTCTCCATCCAGCAGCCACATCTAGATGAGGCTCGGGCTGAATGAAAGGCTGTACTCCAAACTGCCCGGCGACCAGAGCTGCTTATCACACGCCAGGCCCCCAGTGGTTCTGTCTGGCTTACTGTACACTGGCTTGTGTATTATTTTAAACCTAAGAGTTTAAAAACATTCTTCTTGTGGCGAAATCAGGATCAAACAGTTGTGGAACCAGAGAACCTTGCATTTTCTCAGAACTCGGGAGCAGAGACATTGATTGATGAATGTGAATTAAAGTATCACCCCTCCTGGGATATTTGAATGTTAGTTGAATTACTCTCTAATATGCAGTTACAGGCACTGTGGACAAGTAATACAAGATCATGAAGCGGGCTGACCTTCTGTCCTTCCCCAATTGTGTTTCAACAAAACAATCTTATCTGTCACATTAAATTTATATTGCAATTGGAATTATATTGGATTTGAAATTTTGTTTGTATTTAATTTAAAATCCATTTTAGTTTTACAGCTGTATGGCTGATGTAAGTATAGTCATTTATACCCACTGTTCAAATTATAGAAATTTAAGAAATATTATAACGAAAGTCAAAATAAATGAGTAATGGGAGCCTTCAAGCATTTTGAAGGGTTTAAGAACTGCTCAGATTCGAGAAACATAGCTAACACATTTTATGTTGCAGTTTCAAGCATTATTATTTTAATCCTACAGCAAATAAAGAAAAAATTGTAGATAATCATTGGAACTAACTAAATTATATTGGTCAGGTCAAAAAATTCCACCTGATGAAAATTATATGCAATACTCATATCAGACAAAATAGACTTTAAAACAAAGATTACTGCAAGATACAAAGAGGGGCATTACATAATGATAGAGGAATCAATTCAATGAGAAGATATAACAACTATAAATATATATGCACCCAACATAGGAACACCTAAATACATAAAGCAAATATTACTACACAAAAAGATAGAAATTGACAGTAACACAATAATAATGGGAGACTTTAAACTTACCTCAATGGACAGATCATCCAGACAGAAACTCAATAAGGAGAAACAGGCCTTAGATGTCACATTATTCAGATGGGCTTAATAAGTATATAGAGAGCATTCCAGCCAATAGCAGCAGAATAGATATTCTTTTCAAGTGCACAAGAAACATTCTCCAGGATAGATCACAGGCTAGGCCACAAAATATGTCTCAATAAATTTAAGAAAATTAAAGTCATATCAAGCATCTTTTCTAGCCATAATGATTTGAGACTAGAAATGCACTGTCAGAAGCAAAAAAAAACTGCAAAAAACACAAGTACATGGATGGAGTCCAAACAAGATGTTACTAAACAACCAATAAGTCATTGAAGATATCAGAGGAAATAAAAAATACCTAAGGACAAACACAAATGGAAATACATCAATCCAAAATCTATGGGACACAGCAAAAGCAATTCTAAGAGGGAAGTTTATATCAATATAAGTTTATTTCAGGAAAAAAAATTTCAAATAAATGATCTGACCTTACATCTAAAAGAACCAGAAAAAGAAGAACAAAGAAGCCCAAAGTTATTGAAGGAAGGTAATAATAAAGATAAAAGTGTAAATAATAAAATAGAGCCTAAAAATGATCAATGCAACTAAGAGCTAATTCTTGGAAAAGATAAATCAAATAGATAAAATTTTGGCCAAACTCATCCAAAAAAGAAAGAAGGTCCTCCAAAATAAAATCAGAAATGAAAGAGAAGTTTTTACCAACATCACAGAAATATAAAGGGTCATAAGAGACAATTATGAACAATTCAGTTCAGTTCAGTTGCTCAGTCATGTCCGACTCTTCGTGACCCCATGGACTGAAGCATGCCAGGCTCCCAGAGCTTGCTCAAACTCATGTCCATCGAGTTGGTGATGCCATTCAACAATCTCATCCTCTGTTATCCCCTTCTCCTCCCGTTTTCAATCTTTCCTAGCATCAGGGTCTTTTCCAATAAGTCAGCTTTTCACATCAGGTAGCCAAAGTATTGGAGTTTCAGCTTCAGCATCAGTCCTCCCAATGACTATTCAGACTGATTTCCTTTAGGATTGACTGGTTGGATCTCCTTGCAGTCCAAGGGACTCTCAAGAGTCTTCTGCAACACTATAGTTCAAAAGCATTGATTCTTCAGCACTCAGCTTTCTTTATAGTCCAACTCTCACATCCATACATGACTACCAGAAAACCCATAAGTTTGACTAGATGGACCTTTGTTGGCAAAATAATTATACACCAATATAATGGATAACCCAGAAGAAATGAATAAACTCCTGGAAATATAGTCTCTCAATACTGAATCAGGAAGAAACAGAAAATATGAGCAGATTATCAGTAATGAAAGTGAATCAGTGGAAAAAGAAACAAAATAAAACCTTCCAGCCAACAAAAGTGTTCAGGATATGATGGCTTCACCAAACCGAGAGATAACACTTATCCTTCCCAAACTATAAAAAACTTAAGAGGAAAGAATGCCTCCCAACACATTCTATGAGGCTATCGTTGCCCTGATACCAAAAACAAATCAAGATGCCACAAAAAAAGAAAATTTCAAGCCAGTGTTACTGATGAACATAGATGTATACATCCTCAACAGAATGTTAGCAAACCAAATTCAATAGTATAATAAAAGGATTATACACCATGATCAAATGGGATTCATCTCAGGGGTCAAAAGATGGTCCAATATCCACAAATCAATTGATGTCATACACCACATGAACAAACTGAAGAATAAAATATTTATAATGATTTCAATAGATATAGAAAAAGCTTTTGCAAAATTCAACAACTATTTATGATAAAAAAAATAACCCTCAACAAAGTAGGTATAGAGGGAACATATCTCAACATAATTAAGGCCACATATGACAAACCTACAGTCAACTCATACTCAACAGTGGAAAGTGGAAAGAATTTTCTTTAAAGTCAGTAATAAAACAAAGATGCCTGTTCTGGCCACTTAGAGACATTTTTCCAAAGACATATACATGGCCAATGGGCACATGAAAGGGTGCTCAATATCACCAATTATTAGAGAAATACAAATCAAAACCACAGTGAGACAATTACTTCACACCTGTCAGAATGGCCATCATCAAAAAGATAAGAAATAGCAAACACTGGCAAGGATGTGGAGAAAAGGGAATTTTCATACACTGTTGGTAGGAATGTAAATTGGTGTAGCCACTGTGGATAACAAACGGGGGATGCTCAAAAAATTTAAAGTAGA